GTAAACAATAAGACATTTAAATTGTTCAAAACTATGTAACTATGACTGGTAAAATCCACTTTTAGATAAATCTCTTAACGTTTATTTATTTATCTATTGATTAATTCGTATTCCTTTATTTATATTTTGAGGGTTATTCAAATTTTGTTAAGTAAACCAAATTTAAGAATGTATAAAATAAAAATGAGGGAAATTTATATTAGTTTTTTTTTATATATACACGAGATAATTTAGCATTAAATTTTGAGGTACAATGAGGTACATATTATATCACTGAAAATATAGAGTTGACGTTGATGCTACAGTATCGGAATAATCCTTTAACTCTGTCAAGTGCACATTTTCATCCTGCACATATTTTATGTGTTCAGCTAAATCTCGAACATCAGCCATAGCTGATATGCACATGAAAGGTAGCGGCCTCTTATATAAGGCTCGCCAAGCTGTTTGGTGTACAGTTAAATGTGAGCCATATAACCTGTCAAAATATGTCGTAGTAGAGTAGAAAAAGTTTGCAAGCTGGTCGGGACTCGAGCCAGGGACAATCTGTATTCAGTTCCTTAGCTCTATCGACTAATCTGTCTAACACATTTCCAGCAGTGTTATACAGTGACACAATGGTCTTATTGCTTTGTACATGTATTTCCTGGGAGCAACTGTACAAAAAACAACTCGACTGGTCAATTTATATTGGTGTAAATCTATAGAAATACAAAATGTAGATACATAAAATGCAAGCTCAAAATTATATCTGGATATAAATGTAACAATGTGCTGTGCAAGACGCAATTTAAATTCCAAGATTGTATATGAACAACTACTAGAATTGTTAAAAATGTAAGAACACGTGTGAGGTAATATCACCTATAATAAGTTGGACATTTTGCCATCTCACCATCTCAAGCAACAGCTGCCGCAGAAATGAACAACATTAAATTCACAATGAAGCTCGAATATGCCATCACAATGACAACTTTTCGAAAAAAAAAAACTTTTTTAAAAAAAATATTTTTGTTTTCTTGAGAAATTAACATTAATTTATCAGAAAACAAGGAAAAACGTTCATGTGGTTAATGATCCTAAAGAGAAGTGGCAGTTTTAAGCATTAAATAGATTTATTATATACTTATAAATGAAATATTGAGAAATATTGATGAAATAAAATGCGATTTTCATTTTCCGTATTTTCACTGTAAAAATTTATTTTTCACTGCAGTGAAACATATTTTCCGTATTTTTCACTGGTGTCTTGCCGGACTACTTTCTTTTAAATTCTGCCAGTACACAAAATTTAAGGGAAAGTCTTTCAAATTTTATCGCAAAAAAAAGAGAAAAATGTATATAATAAACAGAAAATTCAAGTTCTCTTTCTAAAAATACATGATTTATTTTCATCTTGTGGCATGAAAATTACCATATTTCACTCGTGGCTACCGCCACTCATGAAATATTTATTTTCATACCACTCGATGAAAATAAATCATGTATTTATAGAAAAAAACTTGAATATCCTCTATTTATTACATGCTTTTCGGTGGTTTATAGAGTGATATAAAATTGGTAATTTCACTGTTTGAAACAGTGAAATTACCACTTTGATAATTTCACTCTTTGAATTTAAGCCCCTTACGTTGTTTCAGTGAAATAGCAGCGTGCACAGTACTGGGTACCAACTTAATGACATGACGTCGTAAATGACGTCACGTTGTATTATTATTTGGCGCGCTTTTCATTCAGTATTAGGTTTGATGTCTTTTTTAAACGTTTCTTTGCATGTAATAAAAAAGAAAATTTGTTTAGTTAAGTGTAAGATCGAAATATATTTCACCTTGTGAACACCAAAAGTTCATATTTCACTCGTGGCTGCGCCACTCGTGAAATATACCTTTTGGTGCTCACTCGGTGAAATATATTCCGATCTTACACTGAACTAAACAAATATCCTCTATCTATTTAATGCTTAAAACTGCCACTACTTATAAAGGGAAGATTCCTGAAAATAATAGATAATCCAGACAGGGCATTTCCCCGTAAATGGATATTTTTCTCGCAACCTTTCGTATTTAACAACCTTTAATTTGTATCAACGTTTTCCAGATATGAATCTTACTTTCATGAAACATTGTTATGGTTTCGTGAAACCCTCCATGACTTTAGCGAAACTTTTATTGAAGTGATGGCGTATCTATGTTTCCATAAAGTAATGTTTTCAAGATCAGAAAACATAAATTCTAACATCATTATTTCAGGCCACTTGCTGTACATATGTTGGCCGGGTCAAATTGAAGATATGATACGGAGTCTAAAAGGAAAAGAATATGTACTTAATTCATTGCCTTTATTCTTTCTACTTAAAACATGGTGGAGACTGCCGTTGCATAACAACATGTGGCATAAAACATTTAACTAACTAATTGTTCAACTAAAAATATAACAACGTTTCAACTTAACTCATGTCTAGGGGTACATGCAAAGAGTATTAAAATATAAATCATTATCATTATAATACTGCAATGTAAAATGTTTGGAATGAATGATAATAACCTGATTAACAACACAACCTTAATTATTTATATATCTGATTGAAATAAAAACATATTAAACTGATGATTACTAAACTGCTACTATAGATACTTAACTTGAGAATTTACTATTATGCATAAAACAATAACAATCTAAATCATTGGCACAAATGATAATACTGACAATTAATTAATTTGGCACTTATAACTGTATATACTTAACAAAAGATGAAAGATAATAATGAATTTTTATATGTTCAGAGAGACAAATAGCATATAAACAATGTTCAAAACAATATTTTATATGTTCGACTTTATGTCGTTTATTTAGTAATGTTCAAACAATATGTTACATGTTCGACTTTATGTCGTTTATTGCCCTTGGGTTCATTTACCGAGCTCTTTCCAAATATGGCATGAACATGCTATTCTAAATAATTGTCTAAACAATTATTAAACTGTATTTTACTTACAAAAAGTTCATAGTTATCACATAAAATGCGTATTAACAATAAACAGTAAAAATATGATGATATATAGATGAATATCAAAATACGTATGTAAAACGTTTATCCGCGAAAACATATGACTCTCAACTTTAAACATGTTTGCAAGCTAAACAATACAATGTCATTGATAACAGTTACGATAAACAAAAAATACAATGAATAAACCTATCGAGGAAAGTCCTCACACATAGAAAAAAAGTAGAACTTGGTCGTACTAAGGTTTTAGTTGGCGTCCGTGATCGAGTAGCTAAGGTCGTTGTCTTCAAACCACTTGCACCTCACCGCTGTGAATTCGTATCCCGGCGGGGTTTCCAGCTAATGTACGAAATGCCACTGGTTCTACTCAGGGTGCTACATGATAGAAATAAATTACAGAAGGGCACCTCAGGTGCACCAGTGTCGATATATGACCTTTACAGTACTGGTGCGACGTAAACCAAACTTTTTGTTTCATAAATGCCCTCTTTTATTTGTACTTTGATCTCTGGTCAATGAAATTGAAAGCGGAGTCGTAACTAGGGGTCGCAAATTGGATCACCCACTTTATCACTTATGACACTAATAGTTTTATGATAAGGCCTTATAAACCAAAGCCACATTTATCAGTATTTTACACCTGGCATGTAAAAGAACGAGAGCAGCTGTTGTAAATATTCATAACGCACCAACTAATTCTGGCGCCTTAATATGTACAACCGAACCGCCAAATTAAATACTGGACGTAATTTCTTTAATTCATTCATTTATCAATTTATACGATGCTAACTGACCCCGTGACATTTGATACTATTCTGCTTTATATTTCTTATCAATAGGTTGCATGTGAGTAAAATGTAAATTGTGTTAGGTTAACTTGTTTTAAACCACGTTGATTTAAATAATTGTTATATACTTATATAATAGTACAAATTTGATCATGATTTAAATATATGTAAAATAATCATAATAATGCATGTATGTTACAACCTGATAATTTGTTACACATTTCTTTTAAATAAATCACTTATCAAATCATTTGTCGTATATTTTTTCTCAATGTTTATTAAATCTTTGATAATCTCTGTATTCTGCTCATATTTGGTATCGTAAATGTAAATAATCATAAGTTATAAAAAAAAACGTTGAAGTTTGACTGCATTTTGTAGTTACTTTGTCAACAAGGTTGCTTTTATTTTCAAAGCATTATTCATATTCATTTCCATGGATAAAATTGCCCTAAACAGCTAGTTTATGTGGGATTAAAACGTCTATCAATGACCATTTTATTGTATACAAGCAGTAGATACACAATGCGACCGCCTCCGTGGTCGAGGGGTTAGAGTCGATACCACACACCAAACTCTAAAGCAGATACGGTTTTTGTTTCAACCAAAGACCGTCTAAAATCATTTCCATGGGTCATTTTAAAATTACAAACTGATATCTAGAAATCTCATTTTATTTGACTCATGAAAACTTTGATCGAGGAGTAATTGAATCGAGTGATTGAGTACCACCTGAAAGTCAAAATATTTCAACATGCAAAGCTAGATTCTGACTGACATACTTTTTCTGGATCGGAATATCACTTCTATGTCGTAAAGGGGAGATATTTTACCAACACATAAAATAGCACAGTATATCAACTCGTACTAACACTACTGACAACCCTGCATTACTGTTTGCAAATTTTAACTTAATTTGCACAAGTTATAAATGTCATTATTTCATCATTTAACAGGCATTGCTGTCATATCTTTAAAGAAATGATTTTTGCAAGTTTATGTAAAAGCAAATTTATCACGGCCAAGTATCTTTTTTAAAGATTCTTCTTGCTTCAAATCAAGAAAACTAACAGATATCTTTCTGTTTACAGAAACAATATTGATAGGTATCACTTTTTACATAAATACTTATACGTTAAACCCTATTTTATAACACAGGAATGTTATACACGATCCCATAACCATAGACAAAAGAGAGTCGTTCATCAAATAAAAACATTTTATTAAGTTATAACATGTACTAATGACAATATTCTGTGTGAAATAGACATAAACATTATAATCAAATTGATGTAACAGAAATGGTTTTGATGTTTTCATTAACACCTTGATAGTTTGTTTGTGAAATATCTTTTCACATAAAATAACCCTTCTTGTGTGTTTTGATTGTTTGGAGTTATTTTAAAAAAGATATATAATTGAATTAATGTTATTAAGAGTGAGTTGAAGTAATGTTACAAATATAGAATTATTAATTTATTGTATAGTAAGTTTAGTGCCCAGTTTAACAACAGCATTTAACAAATAATAGATGGACAACATTACATATCACAAAGTGTAATTCACATTATTTACAGAATAAATAGATAAACAAAAACAAGGAAAAGGGATTTTATATCCGAATGAAGAAATTAATCATTCTGTTTGAATTTCTGAAACCTTTTAAAATACAATGATTCTTCAGAAGCCATAAACGTTGTTACGGGAAGAAAATAGTTTCATGTAAACTATTAACCACAAACATGTTTAGTTTCACGTTAACTGTTATAGTTTTTACCTTTTTTAATGCGACTGGAATTCAATTTGTCCGATTAGAAGATCGATGTATGATAATATGTGGAACAATGTTTTAGATTTCCAGTTAAAATCAAAGGAAAAAAAACTGCGCTTATTGCTCCAAACTAAAACAATTATGATATTTTCAGAAGTATATGAACAGCTGAATAACACTTTGTTCTTAACACATATGGATGACATCTAAAACTGACAGTGGTAATGTTTACACTCCATAGGTTATATCAACGATCTGTTGAATCATATATTATAAATAACTTTCCAGAAAGGCTGGTAGCGCATCACAGTTCTTCCTCCCTTCACAAATATTGTGTCGATGTGGCAGAAATAAATAAAGTACCTGTAATGTTCAAAGAATTAGCTATGATACAATAATTCACGCAATCAGCATGGACATAATTGTAATGAAAGATCTTAAAATCATGTTTAGATCAGCAAATGACTTTTTATATATAACTGCACTGGGATGTTTCAGATATGTTCAAACTAAGTCCCGATGAAAACAAATTATTTTCGGTTACTCTTACTTTGGACAACAGCACCAAACTTGGTACAGGTGACCGAACCAACTTCTGGTCTGGTTGAATTATTTTTAAGATAGATGCATACTACTGTGTTTATAAAAGCATGCCGCCAGTACGAATATGCAATCTAAGATTAAGATTTATTCATATATCAAATATGTATACATACACATAAACAATTATCCAAATGACGCTAATGAAATACATTGACCATTCAAACATACCTGCAAATAAAAATAATATAGATAAAAATGAAGCGCGAGTCAATAATTTCGGAAAGGGCCACTTATAGTTAGTAATAGACACATTTAAATCTATTACATATACAGTTTTAACATTCGTCAATGCCAAAGCAAATAATGACAGTAACATCAGATCTTATATAAAGCTTTTAAAAATTTATAGGTGATACCATAAGTTCTGAAAGATGAAAAGACGATCCAATTTTATGCAAGAGGTAAAATCAATTTTGTAATACATTTTACAGAGGACCAAGTAAATACATAGCAACTTGTTTAAATGGAGTAAATATACATTTGACCAACTCTTACATTTCTTTTACCACAAGAAGTCCCATCAACAGCTGGTTCCGAACGCGTATATCTCCACTGACCCTTGGCATCATCACAACATAGATGCTCACATTGCTTAGGTCCAATCTTAAAAAAATCAAATAACAATGATCTTGTACAAAATCTGTTATCATACCTTTCCTTTTTTATCATTTTATCTAGTTCGATAAGCTCTATTACAAGGAAAAGACATGCATGAAACATCAAACATCAAACTAAGAAAGGTCCAATGTTGATTAGAGCAGTCTTAAAAAAATGCAAATTTCTTTGCAGTACTTACAGTAGGCCTTAAAAGAAAAACGAACTAGAACTGTGTCCAAAGGACACGGATGCCCCCCCCCCCCCACCGACAACATATATATGGTATATAGTGAAAAAAATAGCAAAGGGCCATAATTCTGTTAAATTTGGTCGCAGCGAAAATTTCTTCTTTTATTACCATCTACACATTAAGGTTGTTCATCCCTGGAAGTTTAAGCAAAATCTGCCATCCGGTTTAAGAGGAGTTGCGTTCACAAAATTTCTACATAGTATATAGTGAAAAAATCAACAAAGGGCCATAATTCTGTTAAATTTGGTCGCAGCAAAAATTCCTTCTTTTACTACCATCTACACATTAAGGTTGTTCATCCCTGGAAGTTTAAGCAAAATCTGCCATCCGGTTTAAGAGGAGTGTTCACAAAATTTCTATATGGTATATAGTGAAAAAATCAACAAAGGGCCATAATTCTGTTAAATTTGGTCGCAGCAAAAATTCCTTCTTTTACTACCATCTTCACATTAAGGTTGTTCATCACTGGAAGTTTAAGCAAAATCTGCCATCCGGTTTAAGAGGAGTTGCGTTCACAAGATTTCGGGACGTACGGACAGACGTACGAACAGACAGACGTACGGACGGACGGACGGACAAGTGCAACGCTATATGCCCCCCCCCCACTTTGTGGGGGCATAAAAATGTTTAAGATTTATTTTTAACTGTTCATAATCATTGTTATTGTTAAAATACTTTATGCATTGAATCCCTGACCTGTCTAATTCTAATTATCAGATTTGTGGATACAATAAGAATTTCACAAGAACATTTTTGTTAACAAAAGAGCATATATTAATGTATGTGGTTAAATATATTGTTATTCAAATAAAAGGTCAGAAAAGGGATCTATCATAAAACAGAAAGATGCTTTCATAGAAAAAATGTCTTAAACCATCAAATTATTTCATTATTAATGAGTGTTTTACCTCGCAAGGTGGTCCACCGGTAAATCTTCGGCATTGCTCATTTATAGACATGTATGTTCCAGGAAATGACGTCGGAAATTTCATAATTTCATTGCTTGCCCTTTGTCTGAGGCATGCAGAACGATCCATACTAAAAATTATAGATATTTATGATTAGTGGCCATTAGTACAAAAATTTAATTGGTCAAGAATGGCGCAATTATTTTTATTAACAGTCGATTTACTAGACTGATTTATAGTTATATATATAGTTATTATAGCTGATATACATGTACCCCATAATTAATGCGTGCTTTATTTGATTCATTTGAAACACACACACATTTATATTTGGCGATATTTTGACATGCCCGGATTAAATTGTAACATAGTTAAATCAAATTACTTAAGTGTAACATGCGCATATGACAAATTTGTATTCTTTTTTTTATAGAAAGAAAGTTTCGTTTTTGTTGTAAAAACAACAACATTGAAAAATATTGCACTTGTGCTTTTTTGTTTTGAAACAAAAAATGGTATGAAGACTAATAATAGATTTTATTTGAGACACATGTTTGTTCACATACTTGAGAAAGTTTTGAAAGCTTGATATAGAGCATGGTGAAAACCGGCTGAATTTATAGGCATCTTCCCTGGAATAACTCATAATGTAGCCAGAATTACTGGCACACCCTCGGGCCTCTGCCTCACCGTCGTGATATGCGCCTAGTCTGAATATAACAAATAGAAAACAAAACATACTTTTATTGTCTTAAACCTAACAGATTAGTCTGGGAGTCAGGCGTTGATAGTTTTTGCTTATTTATAACATTTTTTGCTTTATTCATAGCATATTTCCGTATTCGTTCGTCGTTTTGATAGTATCAACGTCGATAGTGTCGATTTGCCAAACAAAACCATAAAAATCGACAGACTGGAACCCAGGTTACTAACAGATTAAAGGTAAGACAAAACTCTTCACAACTCTATTATGTCAGGCTATAACATAACATAACATAACATAACATAACATAACATAACATAACATAACATAACATAACATAACATAACATAACATAACATAACAAAAACATAACATAACGCAACTTAACATAACATAACATAATCTTTATTTCTTTCGATACATGAAAGCATGCAAATATGATGCAAACGTGAATACATATTGCATGACAATGACATTCTGGCATGTAGTTATTCATGCACAAATGTCTCTACAACATATATTAGAATGGTAATGATTAGATCAGAACTTTTATGAATATTCTAATATGAGTAACATTATTCCATACAAATAATTTGTGCATGAAGTGCAGTGAAACATATGTTGTTTGTCTTAATTTTACAATTCGGACGTTAACTGTAAATGTATCTCGATGAATAATGCGACATATTGAAGATATGTTATAAACGAGTAAAACATGGAAGATGATAAATTAATTCATTCAAAGACCTTTATGGTATATGTAAATGTACAATTAACAAATAAAACATGGCCTTGAGGACTGGCTGGTCAGACTGAGGAAGGTTTACGGCCCGAAGCGCAGCTGAGGGCCGTATACCTTCCGAGGTCTGACCAACCAGTCCGTAAACTTGCATATTGCTCTCAAGGCCATGTTTTATTTGTTATATTATACCGAATCTAAATCCTTTCACCCCTTTTGTTGCTGTCATTTTTATTATAATTTGTTTAAAATAATAATAACAATTTTATTTGTTCAGTGTGTCAAATATCTCAAACCCTTGTCGGATTTTAATTTATCATTTTCAAACGATGCAGCAATAAATCATGCTCTTCTTTTAATATTCCATTTTTGTTAATCAAACTAAATATTTGATGTTACTAGGCAAAAAAACAGGACTTTAAGAATTTCACAAACTGTATAGATAAAATTTATAATCAAATTAAAAACAAATTATGACTTTTGATCAACATGTAATAGATTCATGTGAAACATAGCAATAAATTCAGTAAAACGAATCATTTAACAACAAAATAAATATAATACTATACATGATTTGCATATAACGCCATTCTATATTTAATATGACGTCATCCAGTCCATATAAGAATTATGGACTGGGTAGCCTGTCTGTATGCGATTTATGGACCGGATGACGTCATATTAGATATAGATGGGCGTATACAAATGATGTATAATATTTGTACATAGACTTTTGTAGTTGTGCTAGAATCAAGGGAAGTATTCACTATCATAATGATAGCATGTTAACAGAAAAAAAAAAACTTTCAATAAATTTGATGAACGTGATAAATTTTCTCCATGGTAGCACTGCAATGCTCTAACTGAAACCTATATTTTGTATTCCCGATATTTTGCTAAATGTAATACCATTGTAGACAATGACTCACAATGGAAGTATAGTTTGCTAAATAGTATCAGACAGTGAGTGTTATGTTTTATTTGACATTTAATTGACATTGTAAAATTATCAGTCAATGCATGATCAAATGAGAATAACTAATTGCTTTGCTAAGACATTCTATTTCGTCACTTTAGTGCAATAACTGATTAACTGTTATTACATTAAGAAGGACTTATTCCGTTATTGCACTAAGGCGACAATTTGTTTTGTGTTTGTGCGTCAGTGAGGACCATGTGTTTTATTTAGATAGACACACCAGTCTTGCCTCGTGTTTAATCCATTGATAGAGCAGCTTAAACTCAAAGATCATGATTTATATAGAATACGAATATGACAGTTTCAGATATTAATCAGTTGAGTTATTGCCTCAATGCTTCAATCACGATCTGTAACGTCTAATATCACCATTTGATATTCTTCAAAAACTGAAACTGTCTATTCCTAAATTAATTTAACTTAAAGGTCACTGTAACTATATAGCCTATAAACCCTATGAAGTGATCTCTTGGAATGGATCTAAAAGTGTTTGTTTGTATTGTTACATTTGTATTATCTTTATGTTCTACTTTTGGGAATAGTTACTTATAAGTTTGATTGTGCAGTACCAGTTGGATTAATTGTAATCCGTTTTTAAAATAAACCATGTCTATTTTTAATTTATCAAGAACTTTGCATTTAATAAAGAACAACTAAGTAAAAGATGCGTCAGATACTTTAAATAAATCCCTCAAAGAGAGACATTTTTACTGTTCACAAAATGAAATAACTTTGATAAAGTTGATAATGAATAAATGGAACTCTTACAAGTGTCCAACTTCATGAGCGGCAATGATTACACCATTAAAACTTGTTGATGCTTCTCCAATACCAAAGTTGTAAGCAAGTTTTCGAAAGTATGGTGCCGACAAGCAAGACCCTCTGACGTAAGCAACGCCTGAAAATAAAACACAACTGTTCAGAAACAGGGGAAAATGATGAGAACCAAAAAATGTTATCTGCCACAACTGAAATTGAAATATTGCTGTAACAGATTGAAAAAATAAAGAAAGTGGATATAAGTGAAAAGTCTTATCGATGATGTGATAACATTAATAAAATTTATTCATAGACCTTATTAGTATATGTATTTGTACATAGATTTTAGTAGAGCTTGTATCAAGGAAAGTATTGCAGTATCATACAGCATGATAACAGGAGGTGGGGGGGGGCGGGGGGGGGGGAGTTTCAATAAATCTGATGAGCATGGTTATTTTTCTGTTCAACTGAAGTCTGTGTACACCAGATATTTTGTGTTCCAGATATATTGCTCAATGTAAATTATTAACATTTTCTGTTTATAACCATGACTCACAAAGGAAATAATGTTTGCTTAATAGTCAAACATAGTCGATTACTTTAGTGCAGGTGATATAAAAACTGAGTCAAACCTATGTTACATTTTTACACGTTCGAACGTACATAATATAATTATCGATGATTTCTTTCGAAGTTATGTTTTGCCATCTCATTCTATTTATAAAAAAAATCAAATTAGTACTCAAAAGTAATTAAATTATGTCTGACCTTTAGAAATAGGCCTTGTAAGGAAATGATTTGATTAATCATGCCATTAAAAGGAAATCAGTTTCCTTACTTATATTTAAATTATTCGAAAAAGCAGAATTTCTTTAATTGTATAATTATATTGCAGGTTTTAAAATATCTAGCATGACAAACATGATAGAAACGTAAATGCGTGCTTGTTTTTAGATCATGTATATATGTATTGTCTATAATTATGATAGTTCATCATATCCAAACGTGAACAGTAATCAGTTTTAATCAAAATGCTGCGCTTAGCGCATATAATATAGATTTCTACTGTAATATTATAGTCTGTAATATTATATTCTGCTATCTAACTCTAACAATGATGTAATATAGATAACATTTTGTCCAATCAACTCAGTCGTGTAATCTAATAACGCTCTATACTTCAGACTGGACTGACCAACTTACAATTTTGTGAAGTGATGATTTTAAAACATTTTTTAATCGAATTATGACTTTTCCAAATACGTACGATTAGAAAATTCATGCAGGTTATATATTTTGCTAGACCGTTAAGTAACCCTTTGATATTGTTACGAATAGGTTTCAAAAACGTTACTCATTGGCCACATAGGTAAGCAAACTTTTGCAACTTTTGGGTTTTCGTAATTCGTAAAGTTATCGTAATTAAGTATTTTGAATGGAAGTCAAATCACAACGTTGTATACATACGTTTTGCTACTCTCATGACATATTATGTTACATTGAGCGTTATTTCTTTCAGGCAATAAGCTTTTCACATGCTCTTAATCCATGACCACAATATTATATAACATATATTTCGTCATTCCACAGGAATGAAAAAAAAATGTTCATTTTATTTATGCTTTATATCGTGATTTTAATTTGACCGATATTTTATTTTTTGTAAAAAAATAACATCAAAAGGATTAATGTTTAAACTGTTATGTTGACTTAAAGATATCACGTCCTCCATTGTGCGAGTAAATATAACGTCTTTATGACCAGACTAATTAGAGTACAATATATGACCTTATAGAGATAAATTAATAATTCCACGTTTTATGTATGACATTTGCAGAGTCTTTTCTATCACGTGGGTTATATGCCAGGCAGATAAATACTGGCCTGTATGTGATATAAATGATAGTGTGGTAGTCAAGCGACAATTGTCTCTAGTTTTAAATGATTACATTGAACTTTTATTTATAAATGTTTCATATCATTACTATAACGAAGCAGCTGTTTTTAATGTTCGCTGGGTAATTATCTCTGACCGATTGAAATTGACATTTGATTGCATAAATAATCACGTGATCTGATTTCATAATCATTCAGCTAATCAAACATATACACACTATGAACTACATAAGTAATGTATATCAATTTATTATATTACTCGTAGATGAAATTTACAAGATAACAATGCAATGTTGAATATTGATAAGTCTGTACATTTTCTTCCATCCGCGTGAATGTTATCTTCGCCATTTCAAATCTTTTTGACGTTTTCTTTATACAATGTAATGTCTCTATGATGTCTTCATTTTTTCTACAAAACAATGAAAGGTTTTTTTTCTAAATTGTCAACAAGTTTTAGTTGTTCACACTTAAATAATCTCTGATCAAGAAGATTATATTTCAGCTCGTCAAGTTGACCAGTCTCACCTGCTGTTCCTGCTACACAACCATCTATTTCCTCTTCATCTTCATCACTCGTAAATCTACTGTCTTTAAACCGTCGTGTATGACTTGTCATTCTACAGGCATCATTTCTGGAAAAAAATCATATCTTGTATTCTTGTATTGTAACCAACAAAAGCAGAAAGAAAAAAAATGAAAAAAATCATTCTGGGGTTTGAACCCACGCGCTATCGAAACTCTGTGTCCTCACTGAAAATGAATACTCTTCAGAAAAGGCATCTAGAGCATAATTACTAAAGTTGAATAAAATATACACTAATCATTTTTAACAAAACTGCATTTGTAAACCTAGAAAACAAAAACTGATAAACTACCTTCATTTCCAAAATTGAACTATAAACCTTGAACAAACCTTGGAAATTGTATTAAAAGGGATTATAAAGTATTTTAAATAAGATTCATTCATTTCATATTTCACATAAACTGTAATAATTTAATACAATGATTTGTATGTGCTTATCAAATTCTGTTGTAAACTATTTACCCTGTTTGCAGAAATGCAGCATCATGTAATGGAAGGACAGTTTCGTACTTGACAAGCCATCTTTGTAGACTGTCCATGGCGTCATACAGGGAGAACAACCTACTGCCACGTCGTATACGATTCTCCTCTATAAATGGCTGGGCTGACGGGTCTCGAAATACCCCTATTTCTCGAATCTTGAGATCTATATGTGGCCACTGTCTTTGTAGTGATATTGTTAGAAATTTCCAGTTAACCTGAAAATGATAACTTAAAAATTAAACATTGAAGAAATAAATAATTTGACTTTATTCATCATGGTCAGATTTTTAAGGCATTGAATAATCATATTAGCCACTAGCTGTTCTGACATAACTAAAAAACACAATTTGATATACATTGTAATAAAATGTTTTGTTAGGAAATCTGAAATATATTTTTTTACGATGCGTTCATATAGCAAATGAAACACGTGCCTTTAGCACTGTATAAGGACACTGTTTACCCTATAGTATTTATCTGAAATAAAAATACGAAAATTGCGCCTATTGTAGACCTATCCACTATAATCTTACTCATGAAATTCCAGTATGTGTGAACAGTGCTAAATAGAGCGTCTTTTCTTGGTGCAAATAAATCGCATAAAACTATATTGCTAGAAATTATTATTTGATGACAAAATATTTTAAATAAGTCTGGCAGTAAAGTACTGGCATGCGAGCAGTTCCCGTACAGAAGCAGTACCCGTATTTTTCATTTAAACGCTTGATTTTTACTTGCAATCTTCAAAAATTCATTTCAAATCAAGCAGATGCATAAAAGAGACAAAATCTAAGTGTCAGTTCGGCAGTTCGTATAAAAGTCTCATTTTAAATCACTTTCACCTGTGCGTTGTCAAAACGTGACCTTGTTTTCTCTGGGGGATTCCGTCCTTGCGCGCATGCGCTAAAATACTTACACGTGAGGCCTGTTAAAGGGTTTTCCACTAATACCACCTGTTTACAGATAAGTAGGCAATGTGATGAAAACTTGTTTAATTATCAGAATTTTGATCAATATTACTATATTAAATAATTTTATGGCTTTGATGCGTAAAATATCATGCATTCAAGCATGCCATTGTATGAGAATGCGTTGGGGTAACGGTACCGGGTAATAGATACCAGCGTTTAGTCTACGCTCTATTTCCTGAATTACATCTATTTATCTCTTAGAAAATGGTCTGTTCAACAATTATAATTGAAAAATAGGTCCGATATAACAAAATTGTATAATTATAATGGGTTAAATTTTATGTACGGGAACTACTTCTCTTCATACAAAATAAAGGATAATTTCGGTACCCCATATGAGGCCTCATAACTAAGGGTTATTCTATGTTTAGAACATGATGGAATTTCCATGATTTGTGTGACGAGCCGAATAGTGACGTGTAACATTCAAATTTTGGTGAGCGAGTGTAATAAAAAATAATGTTTAAGTAACTACGATTTTTGTACGGGAACTGCTCGCATGCCAGTAGGGAAAATTTATAATAATTGCCCTGACGCCACCACCTCCTTGTCTGAGAACAATCATTGGTTAAATTCGATATATTTATCACTTTTTTTCTTACTGCGTGCCAGAAATGTAGAAGATATTCAAGAAGTTCGTCTGTGTCCCCTTCAAATTGTTGAACCATAGCGTTATCACAAAATAAAAGAAGTTCCGGTTCAATTTTTGATGACGTCAGTGTCACCTGACGTTTAGTTCTGTTAACATGTGTATATGGAACGTTGTCGTAAGATGTAGGTCCGAGTGGTGTAATAGTTGTAGGGAATTTTAATTTGTCTATATTTGGTGGAACTGCAATTGGAAAAAATCAAATACTGTAGATTCTATAACTAAAAATACAAAATGTATTATTGTTACAAATTTCTTAAGTAGTGATAAAACACACACATTTTGTTCATTTTTAGATAATACTAAATAAATAAGTATTGTTCTTCACTCTGAGTACATTTCCATTCAGCCGAAGTGGCTGAATAATGTGATGAACTTTGTTGTCCCTTGTTGATCAATTCTATATGAAATGTTTATAACAATGTTTAAGAAAATCATTATGGATTAATGTAAATATCTATATATAAACGAAAAAGTTATACCAAACAGTTCATCATCAATAAAATTATGAATTTCTGGAGCTTTTCTCCACATGGTATGTGTGTGTTGATGTAATGATCTTTTATGACGTTTGTGAGCAACTGGTGGTGCTATTATGACGTCATCATGAATAATTCCTTCCTGCAATTAAATAACATTTGAATGTTTATATATAGACTATGCATATGAACATCTTACATCTTGTAAAGAATATATCGACGTAATATTAATCTTAACCAAAATAACAGAATTTCAATTTTCTTTTGATGTTATTTAATAAATGTACAAGCAACGAAAATACGAATAAACAAACGCAAACTCGGTTTTATCTATGTTTATTGTGTAAATAAATGAAAAGGGGGAAAAGGTGCAACAGAACAATTCAACCCTGAAGGTATTGAAAACATTTCCCTTTCAGGACAAGATGCTGTTATAAGAAAATTCGTAAAAAGGGAAATGAATCATGGAAGAAAACGAAGCTATCAAAATAAACTGACTTGTTTGATCAATATCGGAGTTCTGGACACAGTCTAAGGAAAATAGATAGTTCTTTATCTTTCGAGAGTTTTGTATAACACAAATTTGAACATTAAAATCAGCTTAAATCTTGCAAGGTAACATTATTTAACTGCTTTGGGTTTTTATTTTCAAATGAAATGCAGTTGACTTTCAAGATCGCACAACATGACAAAATTGAAATGCTCCGGACTGGGATTGTCTAGACATGTTCATGGATGTTGTTTGTAGAAATAGGATATTCGTCCACAACCATAGTACAGCACTATCCTCACGTAATTGGTGCGGGGACCATTTCGACCAATCGATAATTCCCAAAAACACAATACTATACCATTTCTAATTGCCACGTTGATTGATCGAGGTGTCAGGTGAATGATAAAATATATATAAACATAGAATAAAGGTGATAAAACACAGCTTTCTTACCACAAAATGTTTGAGATTGTCTGTAGATGGTTTATGATTGGCTCGGACGCTTACTAGCGTACCAGATAATGGATCGTGGTAAAAGTTAAGCTCTTTTGATTTGTCGTGCAATTTATGCTGTAAGAGATAATATAGTTTTTTATGATATATACATTCTTTTGCTAATTAGTATTCAAGACAGTATTGTATAAATTACAGTCTGGGTTTTAATGATGTATTATTATAGTGATATTCCTCTATTTTTTGCGCTCAGTGACCTGTACATTGTATGCTTTAATATGAAATTTGCATTTATTTCCCTGTTGAACATGTAGTTTTAGATATTAAAGAATAAGAGAACAGAACAAATTAAAACATGGACAACTAATGCAGATAATTATTTTAAAATATAACGAGTTGTCTCTCTTTTGTATATCCAGCACAAACGATAAAAAATTAGATAAGATTGTGCATATATTGTCTATGAACTATCAAGATTTGCTTTCAATACAAAAATATAAGTACAATAAAAGAACAAACACGATTGAGTTACATTAATAGTACACTTTAAGCCTAGAAAAGGATTTTTTAAAACGCACACTTTAAATCAAAAAGAGCATCAATGAAACAAATAATGCCAGACAAGATTTTTTACACCAAGAGTTTTGCACAGTTGGTTAGATTTTTTTTTACTTAAAAGGTAAAGATAAAATGTGATAAAAAAATTGCATCTAATGAAAGAATACTACAAATAAATATACTAGTAATACTAATATTAATTATTCAGATATTGATTGGGAACCGGAAGATGTTATACATATGAGAAACTTTATAAGTTACCTTCACTGAGTCTTCGTGAAAAACGGTTTTCCCAGTTGGATCCGTGAATACATTTAAAACTGTAAAGTCTTTATGGAGTAAAGTATTATTAAGTCTTTCAAGATTTAAATTATATGTTTGAATAGGTGTCTGTATTTTAATTGAAATATCACTGTCTTTTAAAGGGTCACCAAACACAGATATATCGGCTGGATGCTGGTCATTTGTTGAACCTGAAATGAACAAAAACATTACTTAGATATCACATTCCTTGAATTATGAATTAATGTCATTTGTCAAGCTGTATATACACATGTCTGTTGGAAAGATCATATACCCTTTCTACGTACAGTAAGGAAAACTTTTAAAACTGAAAAAGGTGTATGCTGTTATGTCTTGTTTCATTGTAAATCAAATGTTGCTACATGTAGTTTTTAATAACATCATATGTAGTGCTTGTAAAGACTTAATATATTTATTAAAATAGTTTTTGCTGGTTGTATACAGCAAAGACATGAAATTTGTACTCATTGAACACTTTATTTGCTCCTTTAACATAGACGTTCTGTATTATTACATTGCAATATTATTTTAATAACATGTTTCCTACAAGGAAGTGAGACTAGAATGAATTTATATTCATACATAATTTTATTTTTGTTTGAACTAAACATCTTACCGATTGTAAATACGCACAATTCGTGACCCGAGTATTTAGAATATAATTAGATCTATATGAAGTTAAGATGATTTGAAATAATTAATCTTTCACAAGAATGATGATTCCTACATCATGTGTTCAAACATGTGGAAAAACTGTGTTCCGTAATGAATAACAATTACAAAGATAACAGTCAAATAAGATAAAAGGATTTATTATAAATGTCATATTTATGAATTATTTAGGCATAAATTGTACGGTGCATATTTTTGAATGCATTTTATTTTCACCTGAAAACAAGGGACAAAGCAGTCATGTATGGTAATTTGTTTAACGTTATAAAAAATGTTTGTATTCGACGATAAGCCGGGGCTTTAAATTTATTTAGCAATCGTTTCAATGAACACTTAACAAATGTTTCGTATTCTATCAAATTCGTCGGTAAGCTGATTTTGTGTTACAAGGTGATCTTTTGGCTTTATGACAATATGGTTGACGAATGCTGCAAAAATCAATTGCTTTTAAAAAGCAGACTCAAACTAATCAAATATTACATGTTAAATTGGTGATTTTTTGTTATATGGTGTTCTAAAAAATTACACTAAGATCATATAGATCTACGAAAAGAAAACAAACAACAATTATAATTTTATGCACTTTTTCTCTATGATTTTATGTCAAATCAAATATATTAAACTTTAATAAAGTTGCGCATTACATTTCACGTATCACACTTTTTATTTTGGCGCATACGTATAGTTTTGAGAACAGAAGGAAATATTTCCAACACACGTTTGTCCATCGTTGATTAATTCGCATATAAGATTGTTACAAATGATTTAGTAATGTATTATATTTGTTCCTATCATCACTACAAAAAGTGAGTCAAGCTAATTCGTAGAGAAATAAGAGAAGGGGCAAAAAAAATTAATTCTTGTAATATTCTTAAATAGGACCTACACTTTCCATTATATTACAGTGACTCCCCCCCCCCCCCTTTACTCCACTTTTTGTCTCTATTCTGATCTCTTTTTTTCTTTTTTGTCTATTTATCTCCCTTTCCCCCATGTCGAGAAATTATTTAAATTTGATACAGGCATTGCATTACACATTTGACATGTTCAGCTCCTCTTTATAATCCTTTACAAAATAGTAGGTATTTATTATCTTCTTGTAATATATGGAAGGAATTAAATGCAGGTACAATGAACTTTTGCTATGTCATGTTGTTACTAAAATAAATTGTAGATATGTTTTTTTACAGGAGAGAGTTTCATATAAGCTCCAAGCTTTCTACTCAATCCTGAATGAAATTTATATATTGTAATATTGTCTGTAAATATTGATGAAGAAATAAATATTGTTTAAACCAATGCCGGTCTAGACACGGAGCTTTGAATAATACCAAAATTATATTCATAATATGTTTATAATGTGTATCGATAGGTGAAGTATTTACAGGCTAATTACATATAACAAAAGATCAAAGAAAAAAGGAAGAATAATGAATATCATTGTTGTGCATCTATTTAATATGTACTGCATTGCTAGAAGATATTTTGTCAATGTCAGCTTCTGTTCTTTGTTAAAATATGTTTGAATGATATTCATAAACTTAAAATGCATAAATACCAAATAAAGTTCTATGCTTATTGTGCAAGGGCAAATATATTGGTAGTGTCAGTCGAAACCGTCTTCAAAATATTTAAGTGCTTTTTGTTTTTGGTTTGATTTACTGTTGACATTGCGTGGGTTTATATTCAATTCTGAATTGTTTTATTGCATTTTAATACTGATCTAAGTTCTATATAAAACAGAAAAAAGTAATTAATGCAATTATATTTGATGAGGTTGCTTGTATAAAGTTTTTCTTTTCTTATTTAACAAATATGTTTAATACGAAGTAGACGTCAATAAAAGAAGCTTTCAATAATAGTTTGTCACAAAAGGGCAGAGCCCACTGAAGGTTTTTTCCAATAAAATATTTTATTAAATCGCATTTTCACTTACGGCTATTTTTGTAATGTATTTTAATGGCTCGTCTGTGGGCGTGAACATAATTTAAAGCTACCGAAAGACAAAAATAAAAATATCTCATTAATTGTGAGCGGTCAGTGATCCATCACTTTACGACTTGACCCCACAGACCGGCCTGACCTCTGTATGTCTTAATATATATATATATACAATGAATATATATACACATTTATATCTATTAACGTGATACTAAAACCAGAAATAAATACATCAATACTTATTTCATCATTGCTGTATAATAGCTAATAAATGCAGATTTTCTTTTGCTTTGATTTAATACTGTTTTCTTATTATTTCTACCTTATTTACATAAAAAAGAAACAGCCATACGTTGCAAAAATCTATACCTAAATAAAATTGTATTTTAAACAATATTAATTTAACTTGAAAAATAAAACATTTTTGTGAATATCAAAATATTTGTAATATTTGTATGATCAGATAAATGGTGGTGCTAAATAAAAAATAACATATAATTAGAACTGTTGCTATAAGGAAATAAAAAAAAATTGTTTAAAATTATATGTAAAATATGTACATATGTAAAATATGTACTAAACGGTGAAACAACACGAATATTTGATATATAAGTAAACAATATTGTCTCGATATGTCATTGTCACTAATTTAGATGTCTACTTTGAGATATTTTCGTGGAAGGGTACAGGAGACCGTCTTTGTATTTCTGCAAGTATTTGTTTGCAAATAGGAAAATCAACAGACATGCCTTTAACAAATTAAATGGCTATCCCATACAACAGTAGATACATTGTTAACAATAAGTACAAATATAATTGTTATATCGTTATAATAAGAAGTATTGAGTCATAAAATACATCTAAATACATTTTTTTATCTGAAAATTTATTTTTTGTTAAATTCTAAAAATGTCGTTTTATGCATATAAAAATATATTTCTAAATGTATGTATCATACCACAAACGTGGCTTTTTCTATTCTTGGTTGCTGAGTTGAAAACAAAAGCAATATATTGTTTCCAAGGTATGTGTTTAATTGCGAGTTATTTTAACCTTTGTGAACCCCATAAATGTGATGGAAAGTGCAATTTGTCATTGTTAGGGAAAACGTTAACTTGTATATGATAAAATCATTGCGTATGGAAATAAAAATTTAACCTAGTTTCTTCTGTTGTCAATTTGATCTTACACTAAATGATTAATTAAAGAAACGTTCGTTCGTTCGTCCGTGCGTGCGTTCGTCATATTACCCTCTCATTATCTTTGTTTAAGTTACGAATCATGTTTTATGTTTGACGTCATTGTACGAGTATAAGTGCGTTCAGAATTCTATGGTATGGTTTCATATCAATAACAAATCTTTTATCAACATGGTTTCTATATGAATGGCACGCAAGTCAGAATTGAAAGAACAAATTTTCATGTTTGTTATTTGGTACCTTCCCTTCCGACCCAATCGTTATACTTTTGTATTTAGAAAAATATTTATACATCTATAAGCAACATAATGGATATCTAACCGAGGTGAGTATAAGTTGATATCTAAAGTTTCAATTTGATAGCTATGATATATTATTTCATTCAAATATTTGGTTTGCAGGCGGAGAGTTATACGTATATACCATTCCCAACAAAGAACGGTCATTCGGCATGTATTAAAAAAATAATATCAGCACATTTGTTAATACTGAAAGTCATGTAAAACCATAATTGGTATTTCAATTTGACAGAAGCTGTGATACATCTGTATAAAACTATAGAACATTTAGATTTTTTTGCAGTTAATAGAATTTATTGTAGTTACAAAAAATGTAACAAAAACATGTGTATGCGGAAGAATCTAAATGTCCATTGCACACAATGCGTAGGCGCATATTTTTTATTACCATCATTTTAAATGTTATAGTATTTTGATTTTTCTAATAAATTACCATCATTACTGGGGAAATGATTCTTTATAAAGAGCATACAGTTTTAATTATGTGAAAAAAATAGCTTAATTGCTGCGCACGCAAAATCTTTTATTTCTCGGGCCGTGTCATAGAATTTCTTAAGTCTTATACACAGTGTCTCGTATATATCAATTATTTGGTTTTTAGAGACCCATTATGCCCCTGCAAAGCATTAACATTCTATTTTTCTAAAGATTTTAATTTTGGTTCCCTATTATACTTTCAATAAAGTTACTCATTGCCAATTACGTGAACGATTTTTCCCTTCGGCAATAAGTACAATTAAAGAGATTTGTGTATGGAAGTCAGTTACTGCTTTGATTACATTTTGCTACTTTTATGACAAATAATTTCACATTCAGCGCACCTTTTATCTGATGATAGCATCTAAAATGCTATAAAATCATTATCTAGCGTTATAAAACGTATGTTTTTCCTTTCAAGACGGAAAACTTTCTACGTTTCTGAGGCATAATGTGTCATTAACGTGTATTGTATACATAATTGTTATTCGTCACCTGTACATGTTGAGCACATTGCCATTTTGTAGTTTATGACATTTATTGTATGCTATAAAACGTAAATGTTTTCGTGGAGATAATCATATAATACTTTCTCGTAAGCATCAACATTTACCAGCTTGTATACAGTTTATCTTGAATTTATAATACATTTAAACGTCTAATTTAGTGACGAATCCAGTTGAGCTAACCACTGTAGAAAATATTGATCGAGAATTCTCTGAATGATTACTGTAAAATTTATATCGTAGATCTATATTCTTTCACAAATCATCAAGAAAGAAAATTGAAATTCTTTTAATAAATGAGCCGAGTCACGACAAAACCAACATAATTGGTTTGCGATCAGCATGGTTCCAGACCAGCCTGCGCATCCGCGTAGTCTGATCAAGATCTATGCTGTTCGCTATCAGTTTCACTACTTGTTATAGGGTTTGTAAGCGAACAGCATGGATCCTGATCAGACTGCGCAGCTATTTTCTATATTTTGCAAAGTATTATTTCGTCCCTGTAGCAACATTAAATGGTATATTGATGAAAATAGGCATACTTTCAGTATATTTTATATCAAAGCTTTACAATTCTATGTACAAAGAAAATACACTAACCCGTATATATGTTCTACATGTTTGCTGTTTAATACTCAGCGTTGGTTGTTGTATAATTTGTTTTATGGTCTGTCATACAGTTACCACAAATCTTAGATCAATTACACCCGAAATAAAAAGTTTCAAATTATCATTGATATAAAGAGTTAAATTTTCAAAGAGTGAATTCAGGTATCATAGAGCCTTTAAAATTCCTTTGCATATAGTACATTTTGATCCTGCTCAAATCGTCCGTTCAATGGCAGTGTAACAGCTACACAAGTAATTGTTTTAACATGCATAAAAATTTGCTACACTAACCGTCACAATTATATAATTAAGGGACTTATTACTTCATTATCAGCATTTTTTTCTACACATTTTCTACAACAATAATACCCATTTATCGAATGAAATATGTAATCCTTGCTCAAAGTAAGAAAATATAGTTTTATTATCAGCAAATTATAGCCAATATGATTGTAATACGACATTGGTAAAGGCATCAATCTTAGCATAAGATATATGGTATTTTCATTTTAAAATGTTGAATTCTGCTGAAGGCGGTGCTAGGGGGCGTAGACGGTAGTTTGAACTTAACAGTACAGCCCATGAACAGGCTTAATCAAACAGAGCCTGCAACATTTTCAATTTTGCCTTTTGGACTTCCTTTGCGGATTCTTATTTTCTCTTTTGCATAACATTTATAAACATTATGAACAAAAAGGAAAGTTATGGCGCTCCTTTTTTCATAGAAGTCAGTTTTAAATCTATTTTAGATATTTTGCTGAAAACCCAATATTCAATGATTGTTACCAATTACAACAATTACAATTACTATAAATCAATCCAAATTTTTGCGGAAAATTACAAAATACAGTAAGTACATAGTTTATAATCTTATCCATGAATAGTTGATATAAATATACAATCTACATTAATTTCTCTAATTCTAAGCCCAAAGTGATACCCAGTTATGGTTGAAGTTTGAGATTATATATGATATCAAATATATCCATTCTTTCCATCCAAAGTTCTGTAAGTGATTTTTATACTAAAGGCAACAAGACACAATTCATATTACAATTTTAGCGGTGTTTTATCAGCCATGGCACCAGAAAGAGATTGTATTGTTGCCTAAAGATGATGCGCTTAAGCGGTTGAGTGTATTGTACAGTCCTACTTTATTGTGAAGCATTGCTTCTGTTGTTGAAAGAAGGTTAATTGCTGGGATGAAGTCTTTACAATTCTTCATGTTGTATCACATGCTTTGGTCAATGACATTGAATGTATATGAAGGTGCTAATAAAGTTAAAATCAGTTAAAGATACTACGCTCAAGTTTGATATTAGAAAATATTGATAATTGCTTAACAGTCTCTTTGTTAATATAAAATAAATATGTTTTGACTTCACACAAAATAGGTAAGCAATTTTTAAAATTCTACACACTATAGGTGGTCAATTAACTATATTAAAACATTATTTGGATCTTTCTGCGGGATAAGGGCTTCAGTTGTCTTATTTCACGCCGATTAAAAGTAAAATAAACTATCTTGATATTATATTAAAGACAATAAACACTTTTCTCCAATCCAGGACTTCTACAACTCCTTAAATAAAAACAGTATTAATCATTGCCTTATTTCTTGCAAAACAAGTAACATTATAATATGAACATGTATGTCAATATGGAAAGCGAATAAAATGGTGATCTTTCCTTGGTCATATAAATTCGCATTATACATTTGATAACAATCTTCTGGACGTTTAATGAGCATGTTTTATTTTCTGTTATACTGATAATTATGTAAGTTTATGACACGTGACACATTAAATATGTCATCTGAGTCAAATAATACTATCTATAACATGCTGTGTATTAAACTAGGCAATTAAAAGAGGAAGTAAAATGTTAATTAATTCATACATTTAATAGTGATATTGTACATACCTGTATTAACTTTATTTTGACTATAAATAGCTTTTGCAGAATGAACTTGTTGTTGGAACACTGGCATTTTAAAGAGATCATTTCCAGACTGCTGTACTGTCCGTGATATTGCCTGTAATTATATTTAACAAATTACATTTAATATATTCATCAGAAATAAGAAGTCTTAAGATAAGACAGGTTTCAATTGTTTTACGATTTAGATTTTAGAACATAATTGAAACCTGTTGTGTGGTATGTTTATCATTTAAACAAAGTTTGGTATCTTTCACGTTTTGACGTGCTATTACATAAGATGTCATTACTTCTTTTTTTATAACAGCATTTGAATATAAGCATAATAAAAAGATATCAGCAAAAAATTCACATTCAAATTAAACATTCAATGATAATTTAGAGCTGTGCTGTTTAAAGACAGCGTTGGGCAGAGTTTTGAAGGCCGATCGCTTCTATTCATACAATGCAATGCAATGCAATACAATACAATACAATACAATACAATACAATACAATACAATACAATACAATACAATACAATACAATACAATGCAATGCAATGCAATGCAATGCAATACAACTCAATATGTCACAAATAGTCAGTATTGATATTATAGTCCAAGAACTTTTACCTTTCATTTAGTTTAAAACTGAATTTTAGATTTGAGAAAGTATTTCCGGAATATTTCATAAACAAGAGTGTGATACGTTTTCTCTATATAAGTTTATAAGAAAGCATTTACCAAATTAAATTGGTTAAGAACGGCACAGCCAATCGACCAATGCTTACCAATGAACACTAACCAATTTAGTGTTTGAAATTATGATAATGCACAGTCGGTGTACAAGAATGATAAATAGTAAGCCAAAGTAAATGTGTTACAATTCACATTGTAACATTCACATTGGTTTCATTGTATTGGTGTAATAATTTTTCCATTGAAAAGCACATAGGCATAATATTGTTTTACTTTTTTCCGTGCATTTTTATTTTTAATCTGAAGTGCGCATGCTTATATTACAGCAGATATGCTGGGACATGTCATCAAAATTGACATTTTCATCTGTTATTTTTCCAAATTAGGTAAACACTTAGTAACAAACACACACATATCAATTCATTAATTAGACATTTAATTAGAGTATATTCCGGTATTAAAGTCGCCCACATCGAGCAGCGCAATACCACAACCCCTATAAACTGCATTTCATATTTCCTTCTAGTGAGAAATACCGTAAAATATTTTTCTTATAATCAATATGGGAGAATAAAAGTAATCATGTATTTTGTGTATAAAAAGAACACAGATAATCATATTAATTTGTAAGCTTGCATTTATTTACACCATTAACGCGGTAATAAAATGTTTCCATTGGCCATTTCATCGCTACAAAACACTTTTCTAATATGTCGACTTAGCATTTCGTCAAGCGTATATAGGTGCAATTGGTGTATAAATAAATGCATGTATGAGGCATCAACACAGTGCAGATGTTACAATGCAATAGTATGACAGCGTATCCCTGGTAATTTAAAGTTATAATAAGATTATTCAACTACCATTGTTTAAAATATTATTAAATAAGTAAGTTATCCTATAGCTTCTAGCTATGGATTCAGATGTAATGCCATATGACAAAATATTTCATTAACGGCTATAAATTAAGAAAGTAAGCGCTTATGTCAATTGTAAGTAAAGTCATGTTGTTGGGTTTGTTTTTTGTTGTTGTTGCTGCTGCTGCTGTTGTGTGTGTGCGTGCGTTTTTTTTTTTTTTTTTTTTTTTTTTTTTGGGGGGGGGGGGGGGGTGTTTGTTTTTTTTAATTGTTGTTTATTTTATGAATTTACACGATAAAGCTCTAATAAGAATATACCTTACTGAATTTACCCAATAAATATATCCTACCAAAATACCCTTTAATGCTCAATAATGAATATTACAGTTAATTGCATGTATACTTGTTAGATAAAAATGTTATTAAAATGAGCCATTATGGATATTTGCTATCCCAAAACATTGCATAATTCTCATATGAAATGCTATGAAATAAACTTGGTTGCTGCTCATGGAAAGTTTTAATTACAAAAAAAAACTGTCGTTTGCACTAATTTGAATTTGTAACATGGGCCATCATTCATTTTGTTGAAAACAATGAGACATTTATAGCAACCCATTTAAATTCAAAGCTGCTCCAGTTTTAATGAAAATTATTTCCATTTTATTGTAAAAGTTTTCAAAATTTAAAACTCAATTTATCAAACCTCCAAAAGGACGAAAGTTACGACTGCGAATGAATATCATTTATTTCAGTTATGCTCAAACATCAAAATTCTTGAAAAGGTCATTCTAATAGAGAACTTGTGCACACTTTACCAAATAACACGTAATAAACAGGTGTTGTTTTGCATAATTTTATCTTTTACATAATTTGGACTGCATAATTTACCATTTGTAACAGCAGCATTTTGTTCAGAGATATTTCGTAAGACTTTGAGTGCTCTATAAAACTGTCCTTTATGATGTAATGATATAAGATGACGAAGCGTTGTTTTTGAATAAAATATATTTCAAAAGAAAACAAATCAATTCATTTTATTGATATAAGCGGTAAACATAATTAATCATAAGAAAAAATTGTTTACGTCTCCTTAGTAGGTCATTGTAGATGTTATAGATATCGCTTATTTAAAGTTTGAAAGTTTCATTAGCGTAAGTTTATCTGAAAGAGAACCTAACTTTTGTGAATATAAGAATGACAATAAATGATGATTAAAATGATGATGATGATCATGATGATGATGATGATGATGATGGTGGTGATGATGATAGTGATGATGGTGATGATGATGAACAATATTAAGATAAAAATGATGATTTGTGATACTTGTATTTTTGAGCTTCTAAAGATGTGTGCATCATTTATCACTTATGATGACTAAGAAAAATGGATTGTTTTCATAATGAGTTACAACGTTGTTAATAATCCTGTTGCTGTTTAAATAGTTGACATAAAATAATGCATTTCTTTCTATATGAACCCCTCTTGATGAATGTACTTGTCGAGATTAATATCACAGATTTTAAACTTTCCTCGGTCGTCCAGAACGAATTAATGCCAATTTTGACAGTCGTTGAAAACCGTGAAAATGAGAATTGATTGAAGTCCGTATTTGACACGTGCCCTAAATTTTGCGCGACTAAAATCCACGGTTTAACTAAAATGGCATAGTGACACACATTTTGTATTTTAGTTTTTGGTTAAGAGCAAATAAAATAAACAAATACGGTCTCAAAATAACATATGAACATGGATAAAAAAAATTGTTACTATTTAATTTAATGTTCATTTTAGTAACAAAAATGAAATATACCCAACATAGCTATGGACAACAAATGTTAATACATTAATGGTAAAGAAAAAAATTCTTGAATTGCTTTTGAATTAGAATAAATCAACTTACAAGGGATAAACAATTCTAATGTGTAATATAATTGAAAGAAAATAGTACTCCCGCAGTCTTTTCTTTACAAATACATGTATACTTTGTATGGTAAAATGATGAAATGTATAAAGGTATTCGTAAAAACAAAATGCATTGAATTCTGTTTTCTGTCTTATCTTTCGAAAGAATTAGAATTCCAAAAATAAGTAATGGAAATTCAATTCAATTCATGATATTTCGAACGTTGCTGTTCATTTAGAAAGAAAAATTGGTGAATCACCCTAAAGGGTTACGTACTAGTAATTCATTTATGTAGACCGAGGTTTCCTACAGAAAGGACTAATATTTGCCGGTAGAAACAGTAATTATATAGGTGAAAATGCCACCACTATAACATTTACTTCGAAACAAACATATTTCAATTTGTACATGTCATAAAACCGTTTATAATTTATTTATTGCGAAGGTGTGTACATTTCAAATTTCAAGTTCAATTTCTTCCGTGTCCCGAGGCGGCCTATGTTTTACATGTAATCAATTCGTACTAATTTGCTATAATGAATGTAAACATTTTTATTATGTATAAATCTATCTTAATTACAATACCCTATCATCATCGATGAAAAATTGAAGTTAAATGAACAAGCATTTTATCAAAGAAACAATTACGTTGCAAATCGTATGTTTATTGGAAATAAATATGTCAGACCTCGGGAATATAATGTACAACAAATATGCCCTTTTACCCAATTGATGTAGAATTTATTTTGAGACAATCATCTCTTTTAAAAAGCACGGTCAGTTATTCTTAGGCGATTTTACAAGACAGTTTGCTACTGCAGAGTGCTTTGGAAAAGCGACATGTTTCCGGTTTTGAATGAAGGTTACAATGTATATATAATCAATTAAGAACTTCGTGAACACCGTCATTACTGTGCAAATCATTATGCATCAAAAATGAACACATTTTCCTTTTTAAAAAGGTAAACTTCAGTTTAATAACTTTAAAAAAAACGGGTTTAAAGCATAAATAATAATCACCTGAAGAAAGTAGCGCTGATGTGAAATCAAAAGCCAGAAAAGTAGCAAAATGTAAACAAAGTAGTATCTTGACTTCAATACCAAATACTACATCACTATAACTATACTATTTGCAAAAAGCATCAAAAGCAAAGGATGGTTAAGGTAATTAGATTAAAATATAAATAAATCTTTATACAACTGTAAGAGGACAGCAAAAAAAAAATGAGAAATAAAAATAAAATCATTTCAGGAGCATAACGGGTCTATAACAAAGTGTTAAAGCAATAGCAGCGTCACTGTCATTCTTTGAGTAAGTACAAAAAATGCTGTCTAGCGGAAGATTGCTTTATTTGTCTAATCCTTGACAGTTTTATGTATTGTCTTTTATATTTAGTAATGAAGTAAAAGCTATATGCGTGATGCATGTAAGTATTTGGCATCAATTTCTACCTTTTTATTGTTGACTTGACATTTTAACAGACAATAAAAATGTGTAGAAAAAATTGTCTCAATGACATGAAAGGACACATAGAAATTTTATAATATATCGTCATTCGGTCACATCATTTTCATTTATTTAGAATGTATATAACAAGTCAACACATAAGTCCATGACGTAGTCGTTAAAATTGATAGATCTGTTTGAACCTAATTAGAAAGTACAGAAGCACTGGAGCCTGAAAATTTACAAACTATAAAAACAACTTGTCCATGATGTAATAAAAAATGAAATGATACAGGTGGTAAAATATAAATAATGGCCAGACAGTATGGTTTTTAAGATGTTCCTATATCTCTCAGTGGTCCTTATAGAGGTGGCATTGAATACCAAGAATTACTTTACATATACTTACTATGCTGTTCAATAGTTAAGTTAAATACTGGAAAATGTTTGGAATGTCCATTATGCTAGTACTTAACTTTACATGTTTTTGCGATACATATTGTGTCTAAATTCACATATTCATCGTTCAGTGGTAAACTAATAGTAAAGTTAAGTACTAGTACAATGGACATATTATTTATATTTTACCACCTGTTTCATGCAGTAAGTTATGGTTGCATCTTCATGCCCGACATAAAACACATAAATTCACTTGAAAACTTACATTTTGATAACGCTGACATAAATTAGGTTTTTTGTATAAAATGAATTATAACAAATCACAGGGTTTGATGATAAATATGGATACTGGATAAATCATTTGTCGTCTGCTTGACCTAAATGTGTTCTATCTTAACACTTTGACCGGGAATATGTTGCTGTTACAGCTTTGTACATTAATCAAACAAGTTCGTGAGCAGTTTTTACACCTAAATTTCGGTATAAAATGTATGTTTATTACTCTGGCATTAAACAGCAAGTTTTATTATTACTTTTTGCTTCTGATGTTTCATTTGTTAAATCCATAGAAACAATAAAACATCTAAACATTAGTTAGTTGAAAGTCTCGTAAAGGTTAAATGCCACTTTGTTACTTAAGGAACGCGTATACCACCTTTCGGAACACCTTAATGTATATCCATAATCATCTCGGAAATAATGCGGGTTTAAAGTAGTTCTAACACGTTAATGTTGGTGTAAAAGACAGCAGGTGTATTCTTTATACAATGCAAAACGAATCTGTGTATTAAACATCCATTAGAGAGATGTAGTTTTGTAATTTAAATTGATAAATATGACTTGCAACCAGAACTAAGTGAAAAATGCCCATGAATATTTAGATATAAAATGCCCATGAATATTTAGATATGAAAATGCCCATGAATATTTAGATATAGTGCAATCCGAAATGTTGTCATTGGGTACATATTTTTAACGTTCGGTTTTTAAAGTACACAAATAATCTACCTTTTGCTTTTATATATACGTATCCTTTATTTGAGATGACTTATCATGATAAGATGGAATTAAGTAAGTCAACAAATATCAGCATTTGCTTTCTATTTTAACTATTTGTGTACATGATCTTATTTTTTTTGCGCAGGTGAGACCGAAAAACCGTATTCATTCATGGTTGCCATAATATGTGTTTCAGGGAAGGGTAGATAGATACTTTTATTTCCTCCAATATTTGAAGAGCTGAACAAACAATAACAGCAATTACATACAATGTACATAATGTAACAATACAAATATTCGTGACATCTAAATATATGAAAAGAATTTATATAGCATAATTGTGAGTGACTGTAAAGCTTTTTAGAGTGCGAGTTCTAGACGAAACGAAACTCTAGAAACTTCTCTCTGGTAAATGAATAATATATACTTCACTTAAAAACAACACTTGTCTATTATTCGAAAAGTTAGACAAGTTATCTGAATATAAGTGACATAAAACTGTAATTATCAAATAAATTATTATATATATGTTTAGCGAACAGTCACTCGACATTACAATATTAAATTATATATATATACATGTAATATAAAATAGTATGTGAAATATAGATAAGAATTATTCATTAATTATCAACTGATGATATATGATGGATAACCATCTGAACTTTAAACAAATGTTTAGGTTTACGTTTATGAAACAAGTTGTCGTTATAACAACTTTAGCGATTAAAGCGTATTCAGATCAAAATATGCATGACAAACAGCGCAAACAACAAGAACAAACAAGTGATAATAACAAACATAGCATCATTGTGTCACTGTTGCTACACCTAATCAACTGAACATTTGATAAATCAGACGCAACAGTAGAAAACGTGATTTTCTGGCACTCGCGTATGTTAAGTTTAAGAGCATGTCCATTTGAGTAGCTCTTGCTTGATTTATCCATTTCAAATAATAGTTTAAGCCGACGTCATTTATTATAGTGTTCCATACTGACTGTCTGACTGAATTGTTGACTTGGCAAAAGTTCAATAAATGGTCATTTACATCGTCACAAATATTTTCACACTTTTTACATAGTTCTGTAAACTGACGTGAAACTCTCTTTCCGGCAAGCATAACAGCTACGGCACACATGGGATGCACTGTTGCAATAATCCAAAGATCACACGGGTGCCCGGACTTTGGCAAATAATCAACATTTGATATAGTGTCTGAAAAGTTTTGGTTTAATCTTTCATTCCTCTGAAATTTCTCTGGAATTATCACATGTAGATGTAATAGTGTTTTCCATTGTTGTTTTGAGTGAAATATGCCGGTACTTATATATATATCTAGTTCATTAAGTAAATTGTATTTTTTGAGAAGTCTGTATATATCAGGTATAAAGCCAGATATGTTATACCGCGTCGAACATTTTATATACTGCACGGATAAAAAAACCTTTCCTACCATAATTCAAGGACATTGTAAAGAATTGCTTTTTTAATATACATAATTTTATTTATTTTATTTGTTGTAGTGATGAATTATTGAACTGTTAGTCTTTTTTTTCTTCTTTCTTCCGACATATTCATCGCATGTCATTGACTATTCTGTCGTTACTATCCAGTGCAGATATGGTGTGCCATAAGGCAAGCCACGATGAAGGCTTGATTTGAATAGAATTTACTTTCTATTAAGATAACTGACTATTTTTATTTTGTTTAGCACCACATTTTGTGGACAGGTTGTCTGTCTTTACATATCACATAGAAAATAATCATTGCCATCGGGGGACCTCGTGGCAAAATGGTAGTACCTATAAGTATCTTTAAGATATAAAGCTATATCTAATGAAATAAAAAATATTTTATAAAATTCATCAACAGTAACATTTTGTTGTTTTCATCTGTTGGTTGATTCTCGAAGGATTTGTAACAACATCACAGTTATTTAAGCAACACACATGAGTATTGTACGTAAACAGAATAAAATGCACCGGAACAAAATATTATTAGGGTTTTAACCGTTTAGCAATGATTTCATTTTGATTTAAATCATAGGTAAAAAAAAATCATACTGCTGTATGATGTAGTAAAATGTCATTTATACTTTTTTGATTTTCCTATCTCCTACACGCCAAGGTATGTGCATGTTAATGTAAGATGTTTGTGTACATCAACTCTAGATCTCTAAGTATTTCAGAAAGTTTTACAGCCTTAGTTATTTAAATTATAGATTAAAGTATAGTGTGTGACAATACGAGAAGACAGTCAAATAAGTTTTTCATGTGCATGAATCATATGGATTGTGACTCCCTTAATAAAATTTCATGTCGTCAATTTTGACGATATTGGCCACATTTTACCATAAAGTTTCGAACATAAATTTACATGCTTTGCCCATAGGTTATATTGTGGCCGTCTGTTTACAAGTTATTAAAATTTGATGAAAGTTAATATATGTTTGCAAGACCTTGAAATGTTTATAAGTTGTTTGACTGACGTGTATTTCCCTTATTTCTGTGAGCATAACTCTTTTAATTCCAGATAAGTTCTGTCCCCTGACAAAAGTCACACTGAAGTGAACCATGTTAACCTTATCCTTACTTATCTCTGTAAAAGAATTGCCACTTTAAAGGCCCATTATGCCTAAAGCAATATTTTTAATTTCTCAAAGGCATTTTATTTTTGCTATCTCGTTACAGTTTAATATAATACTCATTTAGTATATAGATGAACTATCTTTTAATTCTTATTCTCTATTGGCAAGTGATATAATTATATTGAATTACAAAATGTAGTATTTTGTATGGAAGTCAAATGCCACTTTGTTTACGTTTTGCTACCTTTACGACACATTACTGCATATTCATCGTTACTTCATTGTACTTTCTTTAGTTGCTTAACATCAAATATGCTCTAAATTCATTATTGAATTATTATTAAATACATGTATATGTTTGACATTTCTTAAGAAAAAAATATGGATTTATGAGGAATAATGTGCCTTTAAAATTTTCTTTTAAATAGAGAGAATCTAGCAATGCTGCATGTTGAAAAAACTGTCAATTGTCTCCTTAAGCGATCCAAGACATAACAAAATAAACGAAATAAGGAAATCTATACAATTTAAAAAAAAATATCATTCAAAATCTCGATGTTGACTTTTTCGTTTGAACAAAGACGTGTAAACATCTCATTTTGTTTCTTTTAGCAACTGCAAAATTAACTTTTGAATAGGAAATATCCGGGAACATATACACAAAAAAATAACAAGCGAAACAAAATGAATATGCAAAGTAATCTTAGCGTGCAGTCCGAGAGATGTCACTGTAAGTCGCTTAAAAAGTCTGATCTCCTCATGCAAGATATAAATATATTAATATATAACATATAAAACAAATATGTTAAAACGTATAAATAAAAGATTGATAATACATTTAAATATGAAGTTTTCATGGATTTTGAATTAATTATAAAATTAACTTACCATAGCGGCTTGTGACAAAAACATCACAAAAAACACTAAGCTCAAAACGGCTTTTACAATCACAGAAAATCCTGCCATTTTGGTTTTATGACATATATAAATTCCCAATATTCCAAGTAAATTAATCCAACAATATTTCTCTACATGTCATACTGATATTTAACCATTCGTTTTTACTTCTTTCTTTCCATAAACCAGGAAACAAATTTGAAATTTATTACTTTATCACTCCTCTCAAAAAAGCAAAGGTTATTTAAAAAAAATAATCCAGACAAAAAAAAATCAAGAAATGAAAAAAAGAAATCACAAAAAAACGTCTAAATCACGCGGAAAATCGAGAAGAATAACATTTTAGAAAGATTGATAATTGAAAAGTATGGTTAGATAAAGAACGGGAGATTGAGTAATAATCGAGCATCGGTCCCCCCTATCATCCATCAGCCATGTGACAGCTCTATCTTCCGTCTTTACTACCACTGTTTACGCGAATAAAATACTCATAAAATATACAAATTATGATGTGATCGCTATCATATACATGTCCAGCTTTTATGTTTTTTTCTCCATTTATATTGCATGCTAATAATTAATAACAAATAATTATGTTAATAACGATTATGATGTTTGAAGGGGGAATAGGCAAGGAAAAAACGGGAGTGTATAAGAATTGTTTAGTTTTTATCGTGTGAATATAAGAAAAAGCGTTAAAAAGGTTCATACTAACAGCATGTGCACGGTCCAGTCATAATCTTGACTAAAAACTATCGGCATTCGAGTCCGACATAAATACTTATCTACATCTTACAATATATATATGTACATAAACTGGTCAGAAGTTAAAACTGTTTAAGATGGGGTCAAATCAGCCTTGCATACGTAAATAAAAAACCCAAAGAACTTTGTGTTTAGACTTATAGCATAAATGTCGATTTTTTGCGATGTGAGGTGAACAATTTTAAGAAAGCAAATGAGGGACAGGTAAAGGGTGATACCGGTCTCTTTCATGATAAGACCCTTAAATATACCAGCATTTTGAAATTAATGCCTAAGTTATAAACTAATGATAGCGCGAATCTCAGTCAGTTAAGGCCCTGTCACACTAGAATGCGCTTTCACTGCGTTTGCACGGCGTTGTTAAATTTAACAAAACGCCGCGAGATCGCAATAAAAAATGTGATATTGTTGATGTCATGAAGACTTCACGGCGTCTTCATGGCGTCTTCACGGCGATCATGGCGATGCTACCGAGCTTCAACGGCGTTTTAGTTGGCGATTCCATACGATTGTCTACGTTCGGACTACGCTTCTACGACGTTCTTTGCGCTTTCACTGCGCATTTACGGCGCTCATACGACGCTCTCGCAGCGCTCACACTGCGTCGAAATCGTAAAGCTCCGTAAAAGCGCCGTGCACACGCAGTTTAACCGCGGTAAAGACGTCGCACAATCTCCGTACAAGCGCCGTGGATAACCACGGAGTTGATTCGGCGTTCCTTTTGCGCTTTCGCGGCGCTCCTGTTGCGTTGTAGGAGATGCTACTGAGTTGCTACGGCGTCCTTACTGCGATGCTACTGCGCTCATTTTAGAACGCCGAGTGACGGCGTTTGTTTTGAGCATGTTCAAAATGCGCGCCGTTGGTCGGCGTTCTATGCGATGCGATGCCACTACGATGCTACGGCGATGCAGTGGCGATGTTTGCGATCTTACTGCGCTCACCTTGGCGTTCGGAATTTTTTTTTGGACGCCGTGAGAACGCCGTCCTAGTGTGACAGGGGTTTTACGTGGAATATAGTTTAATAATTTAATATATTCATTCTAAGAACTTAAGTTCTGATAATACACCTTTATTAAACATGCATTTATTCGTCAAAAAGAAGTGATTGAGAAGTATTTAATTATAATTTTGATTGTTGCAATGTTACTCTTCTTTCCTGGTGGTTGAGACAGTTCACAAGATGAACAAACCAAGGTTATATGTTAAGTATGGTGAAATACCAACCTTTGTCCATTTGCATTGTTAATAACAATGAGGAAGCGTCCATAATTGTTGGCATGTACACACTACGCCGTATCGGCATTGGGAAATTTGATTGGTCATTACTAAAGCTGATCACACACTTTATATGCCAATATCAGTTATCACATCAAACAAACCAGCCGACATAGCTCAATCGGTTAGAGCGCGAGACTTGTAATCTCGACATTGTGGGTTCGATTCCCGGGCTAGCCAACGAAAATTACTAATCAGTCTTTAGGATGAGACTTTAAATCGAGGTCCCGTGTATGGGTGCTTTAACACTTGGCGCGCTAAAGAACCAGGAGAAACTTCTGGAATTTGGGCATCTTACTGTAATTGCACTATCCTCCAAAAAATAAAATGACTAATACTCTTCTGGAGGACACACACACACGCACGCACGCACACACGCACGCACGCACACACACACACACACACACACACCAAACTCCTAGACAGTGGTTCTTCTTCGCTAGCCAATCCCTATGAGAAGTTTGTTATAACATGTGATGTTGGCTCGCCGGAACCAAAGATTCGGTGTAATTCTAATTTTTACTTTTTAAAATAAACTTTAACAACACTTTCTAACGCATGGGGTTATGTTTCCATAATAAATATTTCTTATCTTTAGCTGCAACCCTTTAAAAGAACAGCTTAAATTATATAACCAATTTGAGAATACCACAGAACTGCATACATCACTACTCTCAGTGTTAGACAGATGAATAAAATCAATTGGCTTTGAAAATTTATAAGTTTGAAACTGTTCTAACCTTGCTTACAAGTGGCGGAAAAGTTCATGAACTACATGTAGTTTCTTTCCTTAATGTGCATTTGTTTCGTTTCAAGCTTCAAGCCTCAAGATGAGCCAAAATATTTCAAGAAAATAAACCTTGTGAAAAATGTACCAAGACTTTAAGAAAAGTTAAAATATTCACAATTCAATACATAATGTGCATGTTATTTGCAATTAATGACAGATCGCGCATTACTTATCACCATATTTCTTCTCAGTAACTTAAGCAGTAAAGGCCCTTTTTTGGTAATTTTTGTAGATTTCAAGTGCTGTTTTTATCTTTTTGCTCACTTGACAATATTTGTACTTTGTACTTTTAAAAATTTTATGAAATAAAAATAAATCTGGGGGCAATCCGCTTTAATGCACGAACATGCTTACAATAAACATTAGAATTTTGTAGGGAATACAGGCAAGTTAAGCCCAGACTATCGTACTGATTTTCCCATAGACTTACATTATGAGAAATGGTCCCTAAACCTACCTTAAAATTACTTTTCATCGTAATTATTCTAGGAAAATGAAATGCAAAACATTAAAGAGTAAGCAACCAAAATTTCTTTGCAAGAGGACTTCAAAAAGGAATACACCCTTTTCTCTGAACTTTTCTGCTGATCACAGGACTGACATTTTTTTTCAAATGTAAATATGAAACAAGAGGGCCATGATGGCCCTGAGGCCGCTCACCTGTATATAGGCCCCCCCCAACCCCCACCCCCCCCCCCCAAACGTTGCAGGGCCAATTTAACCAAAGGGCTTTTATTTGCACAAACTTGGTAGACACCCATAAGAAGATGTTTCATGCTAAACATCTAAGCTCTAGCTCCTTGGGCTATTTAAAAGAAGATTTTTTTAAGTTTTTACTATACACATATAGTTAAAAACAATGACACTCCTGGGGCCGGGCCAGTTATGACCCCAGGGTTTTTATTTGAACAAACTTTGTAGACACTTACTAGAATATGTTTCATGCTTAATATCTAAACTCTAGCTATTCGGGTTTTTTCAAAGAAGATTTTAAGTTTTTGCTATACACATATAAGGAAAATCAATGACCCCAGGGCGGGGCCAATTTTGACCCCATGTCTTTTATTTGAACAAACTTTGTAGACACTCACTAAAAGATGTTTCATGCTTAATATCTTAACTCTAGCTATTTGGGTTTTTTCAAAAAAGATTTTTTAAGTTTTTGCTATACACATATAAGGAAAATCAATGACCCCGGGGCGGGGCCAATTTTGACCCCAGGGCTTTTATTTGAACAAACTTGGTAGACACCTATTAGAACATGTTTGATGCTTAATATCTTAACCATAGCTCTTTGAGTTCTTTAAAAGAAGATTTTTTAAGTTTTTACTATATGCATATATAGGGAAAATCAATGACCCCCCGGGGCGGGGAAAATTTTGACCCCAGGGCTTTTATTTGAACAAACTTGGTAAACACTTATTAGAACATGTTTCATGCTAAATATCTTAGCTCTAACTCTTTTGGTTCTTTAAAAGAAGATTTATTTAAGTTTTTACTATATGCATATAGGGAAAATCAATGACCCCCCGGGGCGGGGCCAATTTTGACCCCAGGGCTTTTCTTTGAACAAACTTGGTAGACACCTATTAGAACATGTTTGATGCTCAATATCTTAGCCATAGCTCTTTGAGTTCTTTAAAAGAAGATTTTTTAAGTTTTTACTATATGCATACCGGGAAAATCAATGACCCCCCGGGGCGGGGCCAATTTTGACCCCAGGGCTTTTATTTGTACAAACTTGGTAGACACTCACTAGAAGATGTTTCATGCCAAATATCTAAGCTCTAGCTCTTATGGTTTTTTAAAAGAAGATATTTAAAGTTTTTTCTTTCGGTTGCCATGGCAACCCGAGTTCTGCATGGAATTAAATTCTTTGAACAATTTTTAAAGGTGACCACCAAAGGAACATTCCTGTGAAGTTTGGATGAAATTGGCCTTGTGGTTTATGAGGAGATGTCATTTAAAGTAAAAGTTTACGGACAACGGACGGACGACGGACGAAAAGCGATCACAAAAGCTCACCCTGTCACTTTGTGACAGGTGAGCTAAAAAATAAGGAAACGATGCAATATCAATTACTATATTAGTTTTTTATTCTCAAAACAAAACATTTTCATCAAAGCACCTTATGTCCCATAAACTTTGCTGTTTTTCCCTGCACTTTTATCTACCAATCGTTGGCCATGTTATCATCAAGGGAGGTTACTAGATTTACACATTAAGACTTAACAAAGCATTGCTAACATAATCTTATAGCATTTTGTAAATAGTTTTCATAGAAAACCAACAATTACACTTATGCAAAATATTTATATTCTCAGAAAAAACACAATGAATAGGCTGATGCTGATTAAAACAGCAATAATAATTTAAATTACAAATGATTATAATACTTCCTTCAAATTTATTTGATGTAGAATAAATAACATTAGAATGCAGCATAGCAAGCATTCTTGATGTAACATATTCTACTTAATTAGTGGCATAGCCTTATCATTGTTGATTAATAATTCAATAATGCATTCAAATATGCATACTTTAATTGAATCCAAATATAGAATTACTGCTGTTGATATGACAAAGAATATTTCGAGGCACTGCTTCCGGAACAATGTCATGAAAAAGAGATCATGATACATAATTGTAGCATTCCCAATAGCCACTGTAATAGAAACTATGTGGAATTAAAATCATCAAATGATGGGTCATAAACATAAAAACAAGTTCAGTTTTATTGTGATTTATTCTGTAAACAAAACATTTATTCATTTATTCTTTTAACAATAGATTCATTCTTTAAAAAAAAATATTTATTCTGTTCTTTAAAATGAATTGGTCTATGATGGAAAGTTTGTAATACAATGAATAAGTAATAATACTTAAATGATGTGAAAGTATTTCGTATTGGACATAACAACAAACCCACAAAAGACCTATATATGGAAGTTGTTTGCAAGTGTGAGATAAATGATCCGATATTATATATTTATATAGCAGATAATTAATTGTTCCTGAACAAAATAATATTATTCATCATATAAATGTTTATTCTAAGTAACTTAGAACAATATCAACTTTTTTCCCAAACAACTTTCTATAAAAATATCGAAAAGATACATTTCTATTGTTTTTATCAATATTTGAAAAAATTAAAGAAAATGTGCCCATTGTAGACCTATCCACTTTAAAGATACTAAGATGATAAAGAGTATTTACTGGAAGAAACACAAAGTTTTGTAATGGAAAAGAAAGTTGACAAAGACTGCAAGGTGTACCGGGAAACAGTTGGGTCATCTACAAGTTTAACCCCACTGTAAAACTTATGACTTTTATATACAGTTATGTCCAGCTTCCATTTTCGGGAATGTCCACTACCAATTTTGGGGATACATGTATCAGGATCAATATTTAAAGATGATCAGCACCTAGCACAACTAGTGACAAAGGCTAATCACATTCTGTTCCAGCTGGTAAAGGGTTACACTTGTATGCATTTTGAATGAAGTTAAATCAAATATAAAATTTACGATGAAAAACACTTTTCACTGTTGTAAAATGCAAACTTATCATTTTATTTATTCCATGAAAAAACTCCTCCAACTCTTGAGGTGGAAATTTTGAAACAATGGACACAAATTATCTAAAGTTGATATTAATTAAACAGACAATACGATTTTACGTCTGATTTCAATTAATTTTGAGTACGCTAAGAGTGCTAAAATCTCCTATATAACGCATTCATAACTGCCGTATGATTAACCATAAAGGATTAATTTTTCAAATATCAAAATTGAGCATTTAACAGTGAGAGTAAGGTTACAATCTTAGCAGCCTGTTCTGTTTCATGTTAAACATTTTTACTATAGAAGTGATGACTCTGAAGTTTAATTTTCACTTATAAATTTAAAAAGATTTAGAAAAAAATGAGATTTATAACAGATGTAAATATCATTTAGCAGTATGTAGTAAAAACATAACAATAATCATAAAATATCACATGTACGTCTTTTCTAAAAATAGCATGTTATTCACTAATTACTCTATTTCAACCCTCCTCATGTATTACTTGACACAAATTTAGTTGAAAAATACATTTTTCCTGACATTTTGACCTTGTTTACATGTATGTTATATTTTTATATAGAACGTGAATAATCAATATAAGGATGGTTATCTTGTCAAACTGTGTGTCAATCACAACTGTCAATTACAAACAATTAATAACTATTAACATGCATAATTATTGGTTAGCTAATGGCCCGAATCAAAATGACGCAACATACGTGACCCAAAAATCCCTGCTTATTATAACTTATTATAGTTTCTCCTTACATGACAGACGTAATAAAAAATGTGTAAAAATATCTTGTATTACATTATGTTTCATGTTTATACATTATTAAAGGTAAAAGAGGAGACAAGGATAAATGTGGCTAATGTTTGTACAAACACAGAGTGTACAAATGTTTTAGACATGTTTGCACTAAAATGACAAAAAAAGGTATAATTTTGTACCTGTTATTTATATGTCTATACAAGTTATTTTAAGTTTTTTACCACATAAAAGGATAAAAGATGTCGACGTGCAAAAAAATCTAAAAATAACTATTAAACCTCCAGACTTGACAAAATAGAATATTGTGTTACTGAGTTTAAGCTGATATTAAGTATGTTAAGTATTTAAGGAAAAGAACTCTGTGTTTGATGGATGTTATATCGTTTTTTAATTTATAGATCATGTAATAAATGTATAAAATAAAGAAAACTAAGTTAAAATAACCACAGCTTGTTTTTAGTGTTTTCATAATCAACGCTTATATATCTATGTTTTTAGGGTAACCTGCTGGAAGAGATTTGCCTTTACCATAAGTACAGAACCAAACCCACCTGCAGATCCATGCTGTCCCACCATGCTCTATATTGCTGGTAGCCCAATATATTAATTAATATCTTTTGATCCCTTAAACTTGGAACATACTGTTTTATAATCAAAACTTGTCAGATCCATTACACAAATTCAACAGTTGAAGAATTAGTCAGTACAATGCCAAACTTTTGTGTTGGTTCACTGAAATTTAAAGCCTTAGATACAAAAACATAGATGAATGAGCCACCTAAATGAGTCATATTAGCATGTTTTGTTTAGCTCTGGTTTCAGCTCATTAATGTGTACCATATTTATTTGTACAATGACTAAACATCAAACATACTACAGTTTAAACTAATGACTGTATAATTTCACTGGTTCTCACAAGGTTGATTAAATGTATGACTACTTATTTCTCTTGCAGATCCTAATGAAAGCCAACTAAATATATTTGACCATATTTGCTAAAAGTTCATCTACAGATGCTAATGATTATATTACATGGATCCATTGCTTTGTGTGATTAAGTCATTTGTTTAGCAATTTCAAACCCCTGAAAAGAACTTATCAAATACAAGGACCATAATTATAGGGATGACATAAACCAAGTTTGGTGATGTTTCATATAAAATTATTGGTGAAAGGGAGGACTTTCTGGTAACCTGGTAAAAGGCCCAATTGGTGTATATCCCTCCTGCAGTAAGGACGTCACAATAATGATTCACAATAATTTGAAGTCAATCTGACTTGTACTTTCACAGCAGTAAGAACAATGCTTATGACAGATCATTTAACTTTTGAGTCTTATAACTAACAACACAGACTTACACAAAGACATAATGTAACATAAACATGCATATAAAAGGGGTTTATAATACTGCACGTTTGTAACGTAGCTTTTCATTTGATAATCATGACATTATATAGACTTATTTACATGACTGTTGTCAATTTATGAAGAAATCTCACTTAAAATTTGTTCGATTAAAAAAAGAAGCTTGCTGTATTATAAATTCGATATAAATATTTCTAACAGTTATATGTCTGTATGTAAGCTTTTTTTTGCATTAAAACCCTCGCCTTTTTTTTTTCGAACAACCATTTATATAGGGCTATATAACCTGTCAAAAATCATAATTAGGAACATTATAATGTACATGTTATATATCAGTAACAACTTCTCAACAAACAAAATTAACAGAATAATTTAAACAATTAAAGATATACTATGCTCAAATTTGATAATTGCTACATGGTCCTTTTATAAATATAAATAAACATGTTTCGACTTCACACAAAGTAGATATATTATACTTTAAACTTTAACAATTTATAAATATATACATGTAGTGTCATAAAAAAAACTGTCAGTTTTTTAAGAAAAGGTCAACTTTACTTAACCTGCAAAAAGGAATGCAGATTCCAATCCTTAGTTTATTTGCTCTTTTTATTCAAATTAGACATATTTAGAAAGACTTTCATAGATTTCAATATATTTTTGTGATTAAAAATATTTTACTCAAGGATGAGCATAGTATATCTTTAATTTTATTGACAGCAATGGCTGTCTAAAGAGACAGTAGGTCTAATTAAGTATGTTAAGAAAAAAGAATAAAATACGTTACTGTACATAATCTTTTTATGCCATGGTTATTAATAAAGTTTAATCAACACAAAATCCATACAATCCAACACAATTAGTAATAGAAAGAGCACTGAAACACGAGGCTATTTGATTTGTACGAGAGGGCGTAGCCCCCGAATTAATCAGATTTCCAAGTGTTTTGGTGTTCTTTCTCTTTTGTATCATAGTCAAACATAAAAGCACGTTCCCTGTTGTCACAATATGAAACCCCGGCAAAAATGAACCAATGAACGAACATCTGAATATGACATTTCTGTCGCTTTCCCTTTCTCTGCTGTCACAATATGTAAAACCCATATAGGGATGACATAAACCAAGTTTGGTGATGTTTCAAATAAAATTATTGGTGAAAGGGAGGACTTTCTATAAATCCCTGTAAAAGGCCCAATTGGTGTATATCCCTCCTGCAGTAAAGACGTCACAATAATGATTCACAGTAATTAGAAGTCAATCTGACTTGTACTTTCACAGCAGTAAGAACAATGCTTATGACAGATCATTTAACTTTCGAGTCTTATAACTAAGAACACAGATCTACACAAAGACAAAATGTAACATAAACATGCATATAAAAGGGGTTTATAATACTGCATGTTTGTAACGTAGCTTTTCATTGGATAATCATGACATTATATAGACTTATTTACATGACTGTTGTCAATTTATGAAGAAATCTCACTTAAAATTTGTTCGATTTAAAAAAGATGCTTGCTGTATTATAAATTCGATATAAATATTTCCAACAGTTATATGTCTGTATGTAAGCTTTTTTTTGCATTAAAACCCTCGCCTTTTTTTTTTTTGAACAACCATTTATATAGGGCTATATAACCTGTCAAAAATCATAATTAGGAATATTATAATGTACATGTTATATATCAGTAACAACTTCTCAACAAACAAAAATTAACAGGATAATTTAAACAATTAAAGATATACTATGCTCAAATTTGATAATTGCTACATGGTCCTTTTATAAATATAAATAAACATGTTTCGACTTCACACAAAGTAGATATATTATACTTTAAACTTTAACAATTTATAAATATATACATGTAGTGTCATAAAAAAAACTGTCAGTTTTTTAAGAAAAGGTCAACTTTACTAAACCTGCAAAAAGGAACGCAGCTTCCCATCCTTAGTTTATTTGCTCTTTTTATTCAAATTAGACATACTTAGAAAGACTTTCATACATTTCAATATATTTTTGTGATTAAAATATTTTACTCAAGGATGAGCATAGTATATCTTTAATTTTATTAACAACAATGGCTGTCTGAAGAGACAGTAGGTCTAATTAAGTATGTTAAGAAAATAGAATAAAATACGTAACTGTACATAATCTTTTTATGCCAAGGTGATTAATTAAGTCTCTCACCATTACAATACTTTGTACAGTCAACCTAATAAAGTCTCCACAGTTAATTTAATCAACACAAAATCCATACAATCCAACACAATTACAGTATTATGATGGATGGTTTTGCTGTGGCCTGTTGGATATGACAGGGATACACATTTAATAGGAATGTTTGTTTCATTCATGTCTAGCTTTTCTCTTCCTTGACTGTGATGATGATGCTGCAGATGATGATGGGGGTGATGATTCAGTAGAAGCTCCTCCCACTGCAGCTGATGATGATGTTGATGCAGAATTACTTGTAACTGCAATATCAAAAATATTGAAAAACGTAAGAAACTGATAGATGGGCAATTATTAAGGGAGATAATTGATGAAATTGCTCACCTGACCTTTTAGTCTACCTTTTTTTTCTTTCTTTTATGTATTTTACTCAGGTCTCTGTGGATTATTTCAGACATAGACACCTGAGTAGAACCACAGATGTTCTGTAAGCTAGCTGGATAGTTTCCTCGCATGACAGAATCCAAGGTCCCTACTTGGATTTGGATCCCAGCAGTAAGGAACACTTGGCAACAGATGTCCTAAATCTACCTTCAAGCTTTTGTTACTGCTATATGAGATCAAAGAATTTCCAATTTTAATAAATGAAATTTTAAAACATACGTCAAATATATTAAAATTGGTTCTATTAAAGCCATTTCAAGGATTTTCTTCCTAGTTTTGACTAGACTGACCACTGAAGAGCCAACGGCCTTTGATATTCAGTAATTTGATAGAGAAACAGACAAGGATGTTTCTGACCATATATCTTAAGTACCTGTAATTTCAGATGATGTAACCAGGCAGTGCTAGAATAATGGACAATCGAATATGGACTAAGTATCACCATCTTTATTACAAATATCTCATGGTTTTTTCATCCTTAAATCAAGGATCAAATCCCTTGAACAAAGTCTGAGAAGTTGTTCACAGAAGAGTATTCACACATGAAAAGGCAACAACAATTGTTTGTCTTTGATTGTTTTGCCCAGCTTTTTTTAGACATGCAGCCGCTATATAGGTTATATTGCAATTTTCCGGCTTGACTGGCGCAGGAACAACTAAGGAGTATTATTTCAGGTACAAGAGGGCATCTGAGTAGAACCAATGAATTTCAATAAGCTAGCTATATAGCTTTCTCACATGAAACCTTCAAAGTTCCAGATGAGATTTGAACCAACAGCCATCAGGGGCATGTGAAATGAAGTCAGCAGCCGTAGCTACTTCGCCATGGAGGCTCCAAACAAGTATTCATAGTTTTGCCAGAAAAGAGCATTACTCTACAGAGGTTATTCATGATAATGACAAATACTATAATATTAAAGAATGAGCAGAATTACACAAATAATTTAATAGTGACAAATAAGTAAAGTACATACTTGTCCATGGATTTTGACACTCCGGACATTTCATCATGGAGCCATCTTTAAAGAATTTAGAAGCACAATGATAATGTATCTTTACTTCACAATTGCTGCAACTTTCACCCTGCAAATAATTTTTATCAAAAACCCTATTTATTTATTTTATTAGTCTGTATTTCATAATCAAACCTGAAATCTTTTCATAAAAGGGAAGTAATCCAATCATCAATATAGTCTGTTTAAGATAAACTATTTGTCTCCCCTTAGTGTATACATTTCTAATATTAAGACGGATGATACATAGCACCAAGACTTTGTCAAACTTAACAAAATTAAAATATAAAGAACAGAGTGATCAATACCATAGTGGTATATGGCATCATTCTTTATGTATCACATGAAGCATTATTGCCTCTTTTTGGAAGAAAAAACTGATACAATAATCATTGTATTTCTTTACATTATTATTATCCATTTTAACTGAATACAGCCCTTGCCATTACAGCCAAGCAAAGAAAATGTTCCCTAACATCTTTATCATTCTTAAACCAAATGTTTAATACTACCTAGCATTAAGGTATACTGTCATAGAGTAATACTGACATACTGTATGTCCTTTTTAAAACAGCAGGCAATGTTCATGAGCTCCGACAAGTTTTCCCCAATGTTGATGAAAATTGTTAAAACAGTATGAACATTTCCAAAATTATTGTACATTATGTATTAACTTATCAGACTTAACATGAATACTGTTGTATTTTAAAAAATACTGAAATTAATTTAAACATATATATGTAAAGAATATTAAAGAAACGATAATCAAGACATCCTTAAAAATTGCTAGTTTTCAGATACATACCTGACTTACTACAAAATCAATCTTCTCGGTTTATTTTTTAAAATTTTGCCCTTAAATTAATTGTTCTTTATTGATGAACAAAACAAATGCCTATCTTCCACAGCTCTTCTTATAGAAAGTTAAGGTTGCACACAAGTATAAATCAAGAATGGCCTGATAAAGATATCTTTAAAAAGAATACATGGTTACCTGAACACACAGTTTCTTGCACATATTACACCTCACTGCAGTTTCAAACATTTCTAGTATATACTGCTCTAGTTCCAAGACACCTCTGGTGCCAATGTACACATGACCATTTTCTGACTACAACAACAAATACAAACTTAATTAATAATATATAATCTTATCAGACAAGGACAACCTTGTTTCACAGCTTTCATTGAATGACAATGCAAATTGTCTGAGGTGCTCCAACAGCAAACCAATGTCACACAACTTGATTTTTTAAAAATATTTCTAAATATTATTACATAAACTTAAAACAAAATTCTGCATAAGTGAACACATATGCTCTCAGTTCTGACATTTTTTTTAGTGAAAACTTTGCTTTGAAGTCAAAGTGTGACCTTGACTATACAGCTACAGACCTAGATCTTGCACATAAATGACAAATTTATGGATAATTGGACACAAAGTCCATAAGGATGGGGCGAATAAATGCTGCAAAATGGTTCAAATCTCAGAAATTGATTTTCTGGAAAATCAATATGTATTTAAAAAAAAACAACATTTATTATATGCCTGCACTTTTTTCTATATGCACAAATATGACTCAACTGGAAAAAAAAAGATAGTTGAATCACATTCAAGTGTGAACCAGAGTAGTTTTGCTGGTGTTATGCCAATAATGTGACCATTGAATATATAGTTTAAATTTAACATGGTATATAATCAAAGTATTACCTTAGGAGTACCTTGATCTGTTACTTGTACTTGGCTCTCATGGATTTTACTAGAACAGATCACTCTCGGCGGTGCAAGTGAAACTCGTGAGATTCTATTCGAGTAAAATCCACTCAAATGAAAAACAAGTTCCAGATCTAGATATTACAATCTGAATCCTATTATTATACAACATGTTAAATAGATATTTAAAGTCAGATATTCGTTACCTTTCCAATCCATCTATCTCTTATCAATCTTTCCAATAGATATTCTGCGTCACTTTTGGACATTTTCTTTGTTAAACTGTCAACAATGTTAACGGCAGCCATAGATCCTATGGAACCATTGTCTGATAATACAATCTGACTTATCTGTAAATAAAGTTATGTCAACAGTGTTAACGACAGCAACTTACACCTGTGGACTAAAGGTTTTTACCATCAATAATCACATTATGCTCAATTTTTATATTTGAAAATACTGATAATTGCTATACAGTCTCTTTTTAAAATTAAAATAACATCTTTTGAGTATACACAGAGAATATGTGTTACATTTTAATCTCTACACACTAAAGATAAACACAGTATAAATATATATGTTGATAAGTAAACAGGCCAAAAAAAGGACAAATTTAGCTTCACTAATAATAGGAAATGCAGCTTCCCATACACAGTTTGTATATTCTCTTACTGGTATATAAATATGAAAATATGATAATCCGTATTTCTAAGATTTATATAAATTTCTGCAATAAAAGTATTTTACCCAAGATGAGCATAGTACTTTTTTAACAGCATCCATATATCTACTAATAATACTTTAAGACCAATAGCTAAGAAAATTGTGTTTACAAAATTAATCTCCAGTAAAATAACTGGCATCATTTTTTTAAGTACAATGTTGTTATATTTCTGTCACTATAGTAAACTGTTGACAAAATTACAAATTACAGCATATTCCTCTCAACTATACTGTGCTCCTCTTAGCTCACGGTACTTAACACTTTAAAACAGTAAAGAACACAAACAATAAACTCACACTACAAAAACTGTCATAAACTGTATCATTAAGTCATTTTTCTGCTATATGACACAAGGAAACAACAATATATTCAATCAAAATTAGTTTTAATTTGTCAGATGTAAACCGTGTGTCGGCCATTTTGAAAACAGTATGTCATCATTTACCTCGCGGTAATGGTGTTTTATTTCAGTTTTTTTTCATGTTTCAGTTAAAATTTCTGTAAGTTATTTTGCATAATTTTAAATAATAAAAGTATTTTTACATTGTAACTCAAAATTTATTTTTTCAACAAACAAGAACATTTAGAAAAAGATGATTGTTTCAGACGTATGCACAAATTTAATTGACTTTTGTTGTTTTTTGCAGAAGTTTGTAAAATGTTGTTCAGTTTTACATAAAAATCTATAGATTTAAATTATTTTGCACAAAAACTTTGTTGTTAAGGTATTTGAATAAAATATGTCAATTCTGACCAATTATAACAATGGTCACATGAAAATATGCCATTACCGTGAGATAAATGATGACGCGGAATTAGTGATGTTGAGTATATTATGAGCAAAGAATCAAATCCAAAAACTTTTCAATACTAAACATGTATATAAGAGAAGACTTACTAATTTCTTGAAAAATTCCAATTCGTTTTCGGTGTATGATGAAGCTAAGAGGGTAATGCTGGTTTCTGTGGTGTTAACCTGTCAAAATATACAAATGAACTTATTAACTTCTAAGATTCTGAACCAAAAGTTTTATAACCTTTGTGAAATTGTCATCAGTATAGAGCCTAGAGCCAGGTTAGCCTACACATATGTGCAATCTGATCAGTTTGGTATTTTATTAGTTATAAAGATTTTTGACAAGTACTATGGCCATATATACACTTTGTTTGGAAATATAACCTAAGCCACAAGGTGGGGTTATATTGCAAACAACTGTTTATATACGGCCATATAACCTGCTAGAAATATTTATAATGAATTTATAATACAACAAGCATCTGTTTTCAGAGAAAAAAAGGGAGATTTCTTCAAAAATTTACAGCAGCTGTGTACAATGTATATATAAATCTTTATAAACATCATGATTATCCAATGAAAAGTAATGTTACAAACATGCAATGTCATAATGTTTAATATGAATGAAACCCTTAATTAAAAATTCAATCTGACTGTTCAAAATTCAATACTGGGCAAAGGCAAATCCATTACACAAAAACAAGGGCTATTTGGGAAGATAAAATTATCAACAACTATGATAACAACAATAAGCACCAATATGATTTATTTACAACAATTATTACACTTGTTACTATATATAGTAACAAAATAGCCTAAGATTTCAACTGATTATGAGTGTCATGTGACTGATTAACATTTTGCGGCCCGGTGCTAATAACTGATTATCATAATCGGCCCGCTGAACATGAGTGTGTGCAAAAACTGAAACAATGATGTCACATTTTGCGTCATCAAAACAGTAAAATTAGGATTGAAGCACAAATAACTTGATTTGATCAATAGATAATAAGTGTAATTTCAACAAACACAGCTTTACTGATATATAAAGAAAAATACTAGCTACAATTTCATTCCGTGAAAATAAATTGTTCTTCTAGATTCTGTTGCATACACATTTTTTCTTGAACTTAAGTATTCTTTATTCTTTAGTTGTTTTTTTTGTATTTTTTAAAGTGACTAGAACTTTTGTTCGAATTTTAAATAATCGTTAGTTACTATAAATAATATCCTTCCAATTCAATATTATTGATTTCAGTCCCATTGTCTACCTATTAAACATATGATATTGGTCAATATAATAAAATAAAAGCTGATATAATAGTTTACTTGAACTACAAATTTATTTATACTTACAAGACCATAATGCTTGGTACTATCCACTTCATCAATTACGTTTCGTATTTCCATCCCAAAAACTCTTATAACATCATTGATGCTGTGAAGATATCTCAACAAATGCTGTATTTTATCTTCAATCACCTCTGTCAATGCAAAAAGAAACCAATAGTAACCAGTAACTTTAGCCCACAAGAAAATATTATATATTAAGACACATTTATTAAAACTGATCCTATATTATCTGATTATTTAAGTTTAAACAAAGCATAACAGTTTAACAGATTATAAACACTAGTGTCTTTCCAGCTTTACTGGAGGAAGACCTAAGGTGCCCAGTTGTGCATTATTTCAGGGCCCAGAGATATTTTTTGGGCTTATTTTTAGCCAATATTTGGTCATATTCCCATGAATTGAAAATTATTTTAAATGGTATATTTTTTGCCAAATCCACAGGAAAAAAATCCCAATTGAAAGTTACAAAATAACAAGAAACAATTGGCAATGCCACGAAACCAGGTTTTCAATTATCACCATTGTAGATAAATATGTTGTATTTGAAATACAAATACAAGCAACAAACAATGTAACTATGTGCAATGTAAAACATGAATAATGTAGGAGGAATTGCCACAGAAGAAGTGTTCACTATATATTCTGTATAAGGAAAAAAACAAAGGGCCATAATTAGGTAAAACAAGCAATTATCATAGTATTGCAAGCAATCCATAAGTCCCCTACTGGTTAGAACCCCAGCAACATTCTGATGGGCCATTGGCCATTCGATTTTACCAGTGAACGAATGACATGAATGAACTTAAATCTTTTGAGTTCTAAGTTTGTCTATATCACAGTAATGTGTTAAGTTTCCCTGCCTAGTAAGGAAATTATGTTTATACAACCTTGCCATATTATTACTATGTGGGATTTTAAAGTAAATCCTATAAGGAATGAAGAAGGTGGAGTGAAAAATACCAATTTCTTAAAAAAAAGTTCAAGGTGGACATAATTCTGGAAATAGTCTTGCTAGAGTATTTGACCTTCTCAAAAATGTTGAGTGATAAAAAGAAACATATATATGAAGTTTGAAGTAGATACATTAGGAAATAAAGAAGTTATTTAAAAAAAGAAACATTTTTTTTTCATAAAAATTCTAAGTTAAAGGGAGGTAATATTGATAATTTTTGTGCTAGAGTTGTAAACCTTGTCACATATGATGTGGTTGATGACCAGAAACTTATATTAAAAGTTTGAAGTAAACACCTTAAGAAATAAAGAACTAATAGAGAAAAAGCTGAAAAATTTAAATCAGAAATCTTGAAATTCAGGCTATTTGTTGCCATAGCAACCAGAATTTTCAACATAGGAAGAAAAGAAAAAGATGTGCATAATCTCCAGACTGCCATCTACCCATATTTCAAGTTTCATAAAAATATTTTCAGTACTTTTTGAGTTATCACCGGATCCAGTTTATGTGTTAAATTTGCCATATTTTCAGACTATTTGTTGCCATAGCAACCAGAATTTTCAACATAGGAAGAAAAGAAAAAGATGTGCATAATCTCCAGACTGCCATCTACCCATATTTCAAGTTTCATAAAAATATTTTCAGTATTTTTTGAGTTATCACCGGATCCAGTTTATGTGTTAAATTTGCCATATTTTCAGACTATTTGTTGCCAATTATAGCAACCAGAATTTTCACTATAGGAAGAAAAGAAAAAGACGTGCATAATCTCCATACTGCCATCTATCCATATATCAAGTTTCATAAAAATATTTTCAGTACTTTTTGCGTTATCGCGGGATCCAGTTTTGTGGACGGACTGACGGACTGACAGACAGACTGACAGACGGATAGACAGATGGACGGACAGACGGACGGAGGGTAAACCTAAAGTCCCCTCCGGTTAAACCGGTAGGGGACTAAAATATCCAATCACAAAACCCCGACAATATGCGCCAGGGCACTTGATGACAAAGCTTCTGTGAAAGTTTGAACATAATCCGTTGAGAAATGTAGGACAAGTTCAGCACAGAAGAATTTGTTCACTATATATATATTGATAATTCTGTATAAGGAAAAAAAACAAAGGGCCATAATTAGGTCAAATATTATCCAATCGCAAAACCCCGACAATATGCGCCAGGGCACTTGATAACAAAGCTTCTGTGAAAGTTTGGTCAAAATCCGTTGAGAAATGTAGGAGTTGCGCATGAAAGAAATTGTTCACTATATATTCTATTAAAGGAAAAAAACAAAGGGCCATAATTAGGTCAAATATTATCCAATCACAAAACCCCGACAATAAGTGCCAGGGCACTTGATAACAAAGCTTCTGAGAAAGTTTGGTCAAAATCCGTTGAGAAATGTAGGAGTTGCGCACGAAAGAAATTGTTCACTATATATTCTATTAAAGGAAAAAAACAAAGGGCCATAATTAGGTCAAATATTATCCAATCACAAAACCCGACAATATGCCCCAGGGCACTTGATGACAAAGCTTCTGTGAAAGTTTGGTTAAAATCCGTTGAGAAATTTAGGAGGAGTTGCGCACAGAAGAAATTGTTCACTATATATTCTATATAAGGAAAAAAAACAAAGGGCCATAATTAGGTCAAATATTATCCAATCGCAAAACCCCGACAATATGCCCCAGGGCACTTGATGACAAAGCTTCTGTGAAAGTTTGGTCAAAATCCATTGAGAAATGTAGGAGGAGTTGGGCACAGAAGAAATTGTTCACTATATATTCTATATAAGGAAAAAAAAACAAAGGGCCATAATTAGGTCAAATATTATCCAATCAAAAACCCTGACAATATGCGCCAGGGCACTTGATAACAAAGCTTCTGTGAAAGTTTGGTCAAAAATCAGTTGAGAAATGTAGAAGGAGTTGCGCACAGAAGAAATTGGTTACGCCCGCCCGCCCGCCCGCCGACATACCTTAATCTAATAACCAGTTTTTTCCTTTGGAAAACCTGGTTAAAAATAATGAATAACAAACTCTAAATTTTTTGAAAATATGGTCTTCTTCCATATTATGGTGCTTGAATGTTTGAAGATGCCATCCTAGACAGTGATTCTTTGCATTCATTTAATCACTGCAAAATTTAATTTATGCATTTTTCCCAAAATTTTAACAAAACAATTCTCAATTCAATTGGTATGGGTCATGTTTACAAAATCCTGGAAAAAATCCTCAGGCACAAGCAGGCACGTCTCGAGTTGTACCATGAACCTGCATAGATCTGTAAGGTTGTCAAATACAATGTATACTCCCAACATGAAAATGATTCACAGATTATAAATCCCAAATTCTATATATAATAATGAAACAGTCCCTGTAACTTGATTATAAATATGAAAAGCAAACTCATTTTGATCTGAGGAATATGACAAAGTTTATATTATTTTTGTACCTCCATACTTGTCACAGCAACTTTCTAGCAATTTGAAGACATCATTTGCATTTAAGATTCCCCTGGACATGAAAGACTGTAGAAACATACGATGAGTATCTTTGTAGGCCATTATTCTCACAAAATTTGTACCTGCTCAATCTATACTGCAAAATTTATCTGTAAACAATGAAAACAAATTATCAAACTATGTTGACAGATCACTAACATCAATCAAATTAATTTCTAGTGTGGTAATTGGTATGATATTAAATAAAACAACAATCTACCATTGCCTATCCAAAATTTCTGCAATGTAAGCGGTTTTCAGATTGATTCAATTATTTCTTTAATGAAATATATATTGATAGATGCTATTGTATACACTGACAGGAATCATTCTTGGGGGTGATTTCCCCAATTTTTCTCGCATAAATATCACCAAAATCTCAAAATCTGCTTGTCATTAGGTCCTTGAAATACACCTGCAACAGTGTTAACTGTAAAAGCTATTTTTCACACTTGTCAACCTTATGCGTCATGCGCGGTAATGGTGTTACATTTAAGTTTTTTCATGTTTCAGTTAAAATTTCTACATGTTATTTTGCTTGATTTTAAATATTACAATTATCCTTACTTTGTAACTCAAAATTTATTTTTTCAACAAACAAGAACATTTAGAAAATGATGATTATTTCAGACATACGCACAAATTCAATGGACTATTTTGCAGAAATTTGTAAAATGTTGTTCTGTTTTACGTAAAAATCTAGAGATTTAAAATATTTTGCACAAAAACTTTGTAGTATAGGTGTATGAATAAAATATGTCAATTCTGACCAATTTTAACACTGGTCACATGAAAATATGCCACTACCATGAAATAAGTGATGACGCGGAATTAGTGATGTTGAGTATATAATATATACATTTTATTTGCTTTTTAAAGGTGTTTTGAGCTCCAAATCCCAAGTTTCTGTGCCTGAAATACCGAATACCACCTTTAAAACAGAAATGTAAAATAAAAAATGAACTATTATTTTAACTGACTTCCCCGTATATAAGCTTTGCCTAATTTCATATTAGGTTATAATTGGTCAGGTGGGATATCCGGGCACTTTACTCACACCGTACAATCAAATGGGCAGACAGCAGTTCCAACCTCAACAGCTGTACCAGTATATTCATGTCGGCGCACGAAACACAATTGACGGACGGTAAGTATTCATCTATTTCTAACATATCCCAACTGTGTTGAGTAAATCAATGTTATGGATTCATAGTCAACATCCAAAGGAGCATACTAACAAACTTCTGGCCCTGTGCAAGCTTTACTTCACGTGAATTTTGTCTGAAAATAACCACACTATCCGAAGAGATGTGGCATTTTTATTTTTAAGTCACAACTAGAACTCCGCGAGTCGGATGTGTCGCCTTGTGAACAATGTAGTTTAGGAGAAATGGCCAGGACAAAAATGAAATATGAAAAATAACAATGGGCAATAACTAAAAAAATAATAAGTGCAGAGCAGCAGTTTCTGTGCACTGCACTTCTTATCAATAAGATCTATCATTCTATGATGTTTCAAGTCCATAGCTTTCATACTTGAGGAGAAATGACCAGGACAAAATAAAGTAAGAAAATCAACAAAGGGCAATAACTCAAAAAAATAAGAAATGCAGAGTATCAGTTCTTATGCACTGCACTTTTTCTTCATGAGATCTATCATCCTATGAAGTTTCAAGTCCATAACTTTTATACTTTCGGAGAAATGGCCTGTACAAAAATTAAGTATGAAAATTAACAAAGGGCCATAACTCAAAAATTAAGAAATGCAGAGTACCGATTCTTGTACACTGCACTTCTTCTTAATGAGATCTATCATCCTATGAAGTTTCAAGTCCATAGCTTTTATACTTAAGGAGAAATGGCCAGGACAAAATTAAAGTATGAAAATTAACAAATGGCAATAACTCAAAAAATAAGAAATGCAGAGTAACTGTTCTTGTGCACTGCACTTCTTCTTAATGAGACCTATCATCCTATGAAGTTTCAAGTCCATGGCTTTTATACTTTAGGAGAAATGTCCTAGACAAAAATAAAGTATGAAAATAAACAAAGGGCAATAACAAAAAAATTAGGAAGTGCAGAGTACGGTTCTTGTGCACTGCACTTCTTCTTAATGAGATCTATTATCCTATGAAGTTTCAAGTCAATAGCTTTTTTAGTTGAAGAGAAATGGCCCGGACAAAATTAAAGTATGAAAATTAACAAAGGGCAATAACTCAAAAAAATAAGAACTGCAGAGTACCGGTCCTTGTGCACTGCACTTCGGGTTATTGAAAGAAGCATGCATACCAAGTTTAAAGTCAATCAGACTTATAGTGACTGAGTTATGCTCCGGACAAGCTTTAGGGGACGCTGACAACGACGCCGACGCCAACAACGACACAGACGCCGCCGACAAAAGTAACCCCTATATGTCACCTTTTCAAGGCGACACAAAAACTTATATTTTCTCATGATAATAAATCCTTTTTTATCATACGATTCGTAAACGTCAACATTTCGTCATTAAATATTCCAAACCATACCTCCAAAAACGCTTTTCTGTTAAAGTTATAGGGTATTTAAGTTGGAGTGTCATCAATATTTTAGTAACGTCATCAGCTGTTCACCTCTTTTTAATGATAACATCGACAGCCATACATCAGCAAGAATGAATAACGCTGAAAGCCCTTCAAGGAAACAATTTTCAGCGCCATTGTGCTACAGTAACTTGGAAAGAGGTAAACTTTTAACTCCATATCACTACTATCTTTTTCAAATACAATATACCACCCCTAGGGCATCATGTGACATTCCGGAGGGTTTAATTGGACCACATGTTTATTACTTATTTGCTAATTGTAATTATCTGAACTGATAAAGAGATAAAAGACATGTTTTAATAAATAACAAATCCTTTGTCTTCACTGGAGCTTCGTGTTATCTTTAATATTAAATGAAATGTAAGGTCTCTGTTGTAGGGTAAGAATGGCAACATGAAATAAGAGCACAAAATTTAATGTATATATATTTTTATTACTTATTTTTCTTTTATTGTCAATCATCGTAAAAAAAAACAACAGTATGATACTTTTTTCTCCATACTTGAATTGTAGTACTAGTCTCGATAAAAAATTAAAATCTAAATCCCAGTTCTTGTGCCAGATATGTGTTTGTAAGATTAATTATATATCACTCATAAATACATGAGGGTAAATTAATAATAACAAGCAATTATCATAGTATTGCAAGCAATCCATAAGTCCCCTACCGGTTAGAACCCCAGCAACATTCTGATGGGCCATTTGCCATTCAATTTTACCAAGTGAATGAATGACATGAATGAACTTAAATCTTTTGAGTTCTAAGTTTGTCTATATCACAGTAATGTGTTAAGTTTCCCTGCCTAGTAAGGAAATTATGTTTATACAGCCTTGTCATATTATTACGATGTGCTATTTTAAAGTAAATCCTATAAGGACTGAAGAAGTTGGAGTAAAAAATACCAATTTCTCGAAAAAAATCTAAGTTCAAGGGGGACATAATTCTGGAAATAGTCTTGCTAGAGTATTTAACCTTCTCAAAAATGTTGAGTGATAATAAGAAACATATATATGAAGTTTGAAGTAGATACATTAGGAAATAAAGAAGTTATTTAAAAAAGACAATATTTTTTTCATAAAAATTCTAAGTTCAAGGGAGGTAATACTGATAATTTTTGTGCTAGAGTTGTAAACCTTGTCACATATGATGTGGTTGATGACCAGAAACTTATATTTAAAGTTTGAAGTAAACACCTTAAGAAATAAAGAACTTATAGTGAAAAAGCTGAAAAATTTAAATCAGAAATCTTGAAATTCAGGCTATTTGTTGCCATAGCAACCAGAATTTTCAACATAGGAAGAAAAGAAAAAGATGTGCATAATCTCCAGACTGCCATCTACCCATATTTCAAGTTTCATAAAAATATTTTCAGTACTTTTTTGAGTTATCACTGGATCCAGTTTATGTGTTAAATTTGCCATATTTTCAGACTATTTGTTGCCATAGCAACCAGAATTTTCAACATAGGAACAAAAGAAAATGATGTGCATAATCTCCATACTGCCATCTATCAATATATCAAGTTTCATAAAAATATTTTTAGTACTTTTCGAGTTATCGCGGGATCCAGTTTTGTGGACTGACAGACGGACGGACAGACAGACGGACGGAGGGTAAACCTAAAGTCCCCTCCGATTAAACCGGTAGGGGAATAATAATAGAAACACATTAAATCATGGGCATTTAATACAAAGGCCATTTTATTTTACAATGTCTTTTTAACTGTCCCAATGTAAAAAAAAAACATTTAATGAAATAAATAAAAACAAACCAACAAGCACATTTTTTAAATAATCAATTTAATTTATCATGTGTCAAATTGAGAATCCTTTCTACTAACATTTACACTGTATCTGGGACAAAAAAATATTTGTCCCAAATTTGACTTAGGCCAAAATAAAAAATATGTCTGGTTCAGGGAACCCGACCTACCCTATTTTTTTACCCCCTACCCTAAACTTTTTTTTGGATTTTTGCTACGAAATTTTTTGGGAACGAAAAGTTTAATAAGCTTCAATATTTTTGAATATGAAAAAGCAATGAATTTTGCTGTTCATTGTTTCAAATATATGATATGAGTTACTAAATAAACTTTTATGTACATGCATTGTAGAACTTAATGTTTGGCCAATCTCAAAATGTCAACGGCCATCCAAGGAGCAACATTTTGAAAGGTGAAGTAACATGTTTTAGGGCATTTGTTTGATAAAAGTGATTCATTTACGAGAGCTGCTTCAATCTCTGTTTAAGTATGTTATGCAAGCAACACATCTGAAAATGGAAAATAAGACATTTAAAAAAAAAAATGAAAATCCCTACCCTCATTTTTGGGCCAATGTTTCCTGAACCAGACATATTTTTTTATTTGGCCTTATATTTTATGTACTTTGAACAATCAGTATGATAAACAAGATCAACAAGGGAAGGCGGCGTTCAATGAACACAACCCCCACACGACCCAGCAAAAACTGAAAGAAATAAAAACAAACCAACAAAATATAGGAAATCACCAGAAGCAGCTTATGCACATTTTCCAAATAATCAATTTATCATGTGTCAGAATCCATTCTAATTATTTGCACTGTATATGAGACCAGGGGTTAAAATTCTATTTTATTTAGTTCTGCCCATTATTTTATGGTTTAGGGCACACGCATTTTTTTACTTGGGGACCATATGCTGCTTTGCATGGAATGGCACTAACGTGTCACATTGAAGGTTCCATGATAACCGCCATATGAACACATCTGCGGATGTTTCAAAATTCTAAATTTTACCAGTTCATGTTAAATGTTGAATTCTGCTTAAGCCGGTGCTAGGGGGCGTGGACGGTAGTTTGCACTTGACAGTACCGTCCATGAACAGGCTCAATCAAACCGAGCCTGCATCATTATAAATTTTGCCGCGTTGGCGTTTCTTTAGGGATTCTTATTTCACTCTATTTTGTATAGACACTTACAACATAAAATTTTTACTTTTAAAAAACGTGTGTCCCTGCTTTTGATTCACCTGAAACACAACAGGTGTAATACATCAGCTTATCTATCCCTGCTGAACTGTAAATATTGATAAAAAGATATTATGTGCAGAACACATATAAAAATTCAACAAAAGACATTGCTGAAGTGTTTTCTAAAGATCTCCCAAAAATATCCACCCCAACCACCCGGGGATGTACACTTTTCATTTTTTTAAAAGACTTAATACATATGTTAGAACTATCATGCAAAAACTGAAAGTCTATGATCAGTCCTTAAATATTTTCTTAAAAGTATTAGGCTTGATCTATATAGATCTTTATCCTCCAGATGAACTGTCTGTAAAAACAGTAAATCGTGTAAATCGTTTTTGTTTACGTTGGATAATCGGTAAAAGTGAATCAAACCGTTCAAGCCAAATTAAATAAGCTAATATTAATTTTCAAAACCAAAGGTTAACTTACATATATCATTAGCAATTCAAGTTACTTCAAACCTACTGTATTGTACATACGTTTAACAATTTAAATCAGAAGTATTGGACACCCAAGTTACGTTATTTCCCGCTAAGCCTCCAAATACAAGTAAGAAGAGTATTTTAGATAACAACCTAAAGGTATTTAAATGCCATCAGGCGGTAGTATCGCAAAATGAATTTTTACATATTTTGATACCTTAAATGCACAGGGACCCATGCAGCACAGTGTTGGGATAGTGTAAAAAATTGAAATGAGTGATGAAATAATGAAAATCCGATTTTCTCATTTTCACCAGGGTCTTTCAAATAGATTTTTTTTTTCAGCTATCATTTCATATTTTGTTTCTTATGCAACTTTTTAGAAAAAAAAATCAATCTAGATTATGTCTGCAAAATAAGAAAAAAGAGAAATACAGAATCCCTAAAGAAAGCCCAACACGGCAAAATTGAAAATGTTGCAGGCTCGGTTTGATTGAGCCTGTTCATAGACGGTACTGGAAAGTGCAAGTTACCGTCCACGCCCCCTAGCACCGGCTTAAGCAGAATTCAACATGAACTGGTAAAATATAGAATTTTGAAACATCCGCAGATGTGTTCATATGGCGGTTATCATGGAACCTTCAATGTGACACGTAAGTGCCATTCCATGAAAAGCGGCATATGGTCCCCAAGTAAAAAAAATGCGTGTGCCCTAAACGAGAAAACAATGGGCGGAACTAAATAAAATGGAATTTTGAATGGGGATCTGAGGTTATGAAGCCTGCATGTCACAGATATAACGTCAAAAGACAAATTTAAAAAGCAGGCAACATATCCTAAGGGTGATTATACAGTATTCAAGTAGGAATACTGGAACCACCCAAGTTGAAAAAGGCCAAAAAGAAGAAACTAAAAGTACAACAAAACATGTATACACAACAATAATGTCGTGCTGAACGATCTTCAGGGATCGAAAATATAACATCATTGATTAAATGTACGGGGAGACTTTTTACAGCCGCCACACGGCATAAATAACACGGGTGTGACGATAAATTGGAGAAATACAGAATCCCTAAAGAAAGCCCAACACGGCAAAATTAAAAATGTTGCAGGCTCGGTTTGATTGAGCCTGTTCATGGACGGTACTGGAAGAAGTTCCTAATTTTCCCTTATCATGCATAACAAATTAATTTTGTTCTTTTACATATAAGATTTTGTAAATACTACAATACTTTCTTATGTATTAATTAAATCAGTATCTTCCCATTCAAACCTTATGACAAGAGATTTAATTGTGTGCAAAATCTAAAACCCTTCTTTGTTTGTCTACAAAATCCCTCTATGTTTAACTTGTCTGCAAAGTATACCGACCCCTTAAAACCAGTAGTATTGCACACGATTTGGAACCAACATGATATTTTGAATGTGTGTGCAAATGCTTATCAAATTTTACCCTTTTACTGTGTGATAATTGATAAATATTGAATAGAACTTTAGTATCATTAGCAATAATGGACCATTTACATATGTTTTTAACTTTTTATTGATTGTTTTAAAGTCACTCCCGGTATTAAGATATGTTTGCCACTCATATGAGATTATTTACAGAACATTCGTTTTGATATGTTGTTAAAATTTCGTTTGGATAATCGTTATTCTTATCTAAAAAATGGTAGCTTCTATAACAAATAACTATCTTATCCCAGAATTTTTTTCTGTATCATATGATGGTTGGCCAGATAAGGCTTACATTCCCAGTGGATAGTACAACCAGGCTAATAGTTTTGTTAATACTCACAAATTTTACCACCAAAATTCAAAATTGACCTCCGCGAAATTGAAATTGTTTTTATTTGTGTATGGACAAGTGTTGCCGAAATTCAATTGGTTAATATTTTTAATATAAGCGTGATATCTTATCGCCATCTACAAAGTACCATTTTCTAGCTCATTTATCCGTGATTGATGTTCGTCTGATATAAATTCTATTGTTTCAAAGCATATTCAACTATTCTGGTTGAATTTTCATCAAACACTTTATTATTATCATGGACTTGAATTGTAAGTAGCTTCGATTCTTTGACAAAATTAAGTTTTGTTATAGAAGAATCTTACACCGGCTGCCAGTACAGACCGGAATATCTAGCTCGAGGGTAATTGTTTGCGGCGGTAACGAGGCTCTGTCGAGTTTCTGCGAAACAGTTACCCGAGAGCTAGATATTCCCGTCTGTATCAATTGCCGGTGTTTGATTCTTTTTCTTGTATATTACAGTGTGGCAATACCACGTGACTATGACGTCATTTTCGGCATCATTTCCAAGACAAATGTTGCTCGATTCGGAAAAGAAAATAGCCGTAAATATTTTATTTTTGTACCAATGTCTTTGGGCTATGCACCAGTCTACGGGGAAAAATATAAGCTTTCCACAGAATATTGAATCTTCGTTAGTTTATAAGCCGTTTTATCAAACACTTTGCATAACCTTGGAAGTTGCTTGTATTAGAGCGGGCTTCAGTTGCAAGCTATTTCGTTTTCTGGCGTTATCTCGTCTACGCCATGATTAAAAAGTCAGGTTTACAACAACCGGGAGTACGGAAGGCAAAACTCTACCTAAATATGTTCATATTTTTATTATGAATGACATAAATCTTACATTTTTCTTCAATTGTCAATTCTGGCACCAGTTCCAAGTCGAAAAAAAGGACTACAGTTTAAAGCAGATTTTAGAATCCGTTGCAAATGCAAAGTAATGTATGCCTACAGTTCTCTTTCTATAATTATATTAACCATGAAAAACATTTTATTTACTATACGATTCACATAAACACAAATGAATATTTAAATGATTTTTACTCGCTGCGCTATAAGTGATTTTAAAAGTCGTAAAATTGTTGTCTGCATTTGTAAAGAAATTGATTTGCTCTTTAATCATTGTTCTTTCACGGTAATGATTATGAAAAATCTATTTGTGTCATGTAGCAATACTAAACGTGGAATTGATAACAGAAACCCTAAATATCGCCCAAAACGGCAAAATTGAAAATGTTTCAGGCTCGGATTGACTTAGCTAGCCTGTCCAATGAACGTGCACATTCAGGATCACTTCGATTTGTATGCTGTGAAAAGGGTTACGCCTCAACGCGGCAATTTTAAAGTCAAAATTTATTCTTTTGTAAAGAGCTATTTATACGAATAACCATATACATGTGTATATATATATAAAGAACCTGTAGCAATGTTTTAGTATGATAGATTCAGCTTTTAACACAGTGGCACTCGTTGATAAAAAATATTTTTACATCCTGTTTTCATACCCACGGTAACCGTTTTTCGTGAACTGGATATAAATTCGTTAACTAAAGAACACTATTAAACACTATCTATTTTATAATTGCATTTATTTCTGTTGATAAACTGCATATCTGACAAATTTAGTTAATTATATCAGTCAACTCAGCTTTATCAGAGAGCTCACCAATATACATTGTAAAGAGAGGAAGGGAACGGAATATTTATGGTTTGAACACATTTAAATCGAGTAGAACTTTTTAACAATGTCTCTTTCAACTGAATAAAACTGATAGGGCTATTTGAGACTATTTCTTATCGATGTGGTCATTGGCTGTAAATGCATGGATTATTGCACGCGGCATGACCTGCAGATGTCCTCAACAGGCTTTTTGTAGCATTTTAAGATTTAAAAAAGGACCACACATTAAAATCTAAAACATGATAAACATGACGCATATACTAAATAAGTGAATTATCTGATATGTAAATAAAGAAGTAAGTCATTTGACAGTTGAAGGATGAAAATTGAACATACTCTTCAAATGTAATCGTAATTTTACTAAGCTTATGTTAGCTATCAATTATTCAATGGACGCATCAGTGGCATATGGACCCCAGTCATAGATCTTGCCGATGTTGCTATTACAGATGTTAATGTAAATATTTATATAATTATTGATAATCATTGTTATTTCCGTCTTTTTGAATGTTTTGTTTCAAGAAATTTGACTGTGATCGATGGCTGTTGGTTTGTAAAATCATTTATCTGTTTACTATTTTCTACTTTGTTTACTCCACATGGCGTCCATTCTCGTTCTTATTCATGGTTATTTTGGGTCTTTTTGATAAATAGAGAATCATAAGTAATGCAACTAAGTAACAATACTATCAGATTTACACGACAAAGTTCCAAGTTCAAATTGTGATTTCGTTTATCAAACTATATAGAAATTTATTATACAACAATTCCAGAAAAAATATATACCTTTTAAAAGTCTCTCTTTTGAGGACAGAAGAACCTATTCGTCACATTCACGAGTGTCAGTGTTTGTCAGTTACTCTTTACAAAAATAAACTGAAAAAATACCTTTAGCTTTACAACACTCGCGTTAAAGTTTACCCTTTCCATAACATACAAAAGTGTTTTTTTTTATTTTAACTCTTTCTCTCACTGAGAGCACATATATTTCTTATCAATTTCACCATTGTGAAATAGAATAAAACACATTTTTCTACATAGGATAAGATGAGCAATACTTTAAACATCTTCAAAACGAAACCAAAATATTATTTTCCGACAGGACTAAATCTACGTGATTTGACGTGCACTATTGCGATACAAGTAAGTGTTATTGCTTTAAGGAACAATCAGTTTTTTCACAATCTCTATGTGAAAGATCAACAATGAAAAACTAAATTGTAGAAAGAGAACCGTAGTCATGTTGCTTCGCATTTGCAACAGATTCTAAAATCTGCTTTAAACTGTAGTCCTTTTTTTCGACTTGGAACTGGTGCCAGAATTGACAATTGAAGAAAAATGTAAGAATTATGTCATTCATAATAAAAATATGAACAGTTTAGGTAGAGTTTTGCCTTCCGTACTCCCGGTTGATGTAAACCTGACTTTTTAATCATGGCGTAGACGAGATAACGCCAGAAAACGAAATAGCTTGCAACTGAAGCCCGCTCTAATACAAGCAACTTCAAAGGTTATGCAAAGTGTTTGATAAAACGGCTTATAAACTGACGAAGATCCAATATTCTATGGAAAGCTTATATTTTTCCCCGTAGACTGGTG